TGACAAGAAGTCACAAATAAATGTTGATCAATATGTTGAGGAAATGGTTGAACAACAAGTTCCTCATCAAGATAATGAAACAACGTTAAGAAGATCTACTATAATAAAAAAGTTGGCAATTTCTAGTGACTATGTGGTGTATTTACAAGAATCTAACTATAACGTAGGAGTCGAAAATGATCCTGAAACGTTTTCACAAGCCATGAATTCTAAGAAATCAAAATTTATGGTACAATGTCATGAAAGATGAGATGAATTCTATGGCATCTAGCAAAGTCTGGAATCTCGTTGAGTTTCCTGATGATGTAAAAGTCATCGGATGTAGGTGGGTCTATAAAACCAAGAAAGACACATAAGGCAACATTGATAGACATAAGTCAAGACTTGTCGCCAAAGGATTCACTCAAAGGGAAGGAATTGATTACAAGGAGACCTTTTCTCCTATGTATAAAAAGGATTCTCTTCAAGTGATTATGGCATTGGTAGCTTATTTTGACCTTAAGTTACATCAAATAAATATGAAGACAATGTTCCTCAATGGTGATCTAGAAGAAGAAGTTTACACCAAACAACTTGAAGGATTCTTCTCTAGTAACGGTGAGCATTTAGTTTGCAAGCTTAGTAGATCTATATACATATTAATATTAGCCTCTTGTCAATAGTATCTAAAATTTCATGAAGTCATATCTTCATTTAGTTTTGAAGAAAACATCATAGATTAATGTATATATCTGAAGGTTAGTGGGAGTAAGATTTGCTTCCTTGTTTTATACGTGGATAATATTTTACTTGCGGCTAATAATAAGTTTATGCTATATAAAATGAAATAATTTCTCTCAAAGAACTTTGATGTGAAAGATATAAGTAAGGCATCTTATGTCATAGGCATTAAGATCCATAGAGAAAGATCTCGAGGTATTTTAGATTTGTTTCAAGAGACCTATATCAACAAGGTTTTAGAGATGTTTAACATGAAAGATTATTCACCAAGTGTAGCTTTCATTGTGAAGGGTGATAGACTTGAATTGAGTCAATGTCCGAAAAATGACCTTGAGCGAGAACATATGAAAAATATTCCATATACTTCAGCTGTTGGAAGTCTTGTGTGTGCTCAGGTTTGCACTAGACCCTAGATCTGACATTGCATTTACGGTTGAAATTTTAGGAAGATATCAAAGTAATCCAAGTATTGACCATTGGAAAACTGCAAAGAAAGTAATGAGATATCTTCAAGGAACAAAAGATTACATGCTTATGTACAAACAGATTGATGCTTTTGAAATGATAGGCTACTCTGACTCAGACTTTGCTGGCTACATTGATATCACGAAATCTACATCTAGTTACATTTTTATGCTAGCTTGTGGAGCTGTGTCTTGGAACAATGTGAAGCAGACATTGATTGCTACTTCCAATATGGAGGCTGAGTTCGTTTCTTGTTTTAAGGCTACCTCACATGGTGTATGATTGAAAAGTTTTATATATGGGCTTAAAGTTGTGGACTTTATGTCTACGTCATTAAAGGTGTATTGTGATAACTCTGCTGCAGTATTTATGGCTAATAATAACAAAAGTAGAAGTCGAAGTAAACACATCGACATTAAAATATTTAGTCATAATAGAACGTGTTAAGGAAAAGAAAATGGTCATTAAGCATGTTAGTACTGAGTTGATGATTGTCGATCCTTTGACTAAAGGCATGCCACCAAAGAATTTTAAGGATCATGTAACACGAATGAGACTTAATTTCATGATTTGACAATCATTATGGGTACTTTTTTTTTTATATAAGACTTTTATTCAGATTTGATGTTTTCTCTCGTTTTGTGCATACTTTTGTTTGTTTGAGAAATATCGTTTAGTTTTAACTGTGAATGAACATGTGGTTTATTCATTAAGTTGAGAGTTAGTCTTGAGAGACTTGATATAATGTGATACATGGAAGATAATACTCACCATTAGAGCAACTGTCACCATGATTCATATATTTGGTTTCTTATTATGATTGATAATGGGTTTAATGGATCAAGTGGGAGAATATTAGCAATCAATTTCTATTTTTAGTTCCGATTTTCAAGGAACATTATGTGATCCACATAACCTCATTATTTGCATCTGTTTTTGTTCCACGCGGAGGTTACTTTTACTATTTTTTTGAAATGGGCTTTATGATGGATAGAACCCTATAAATATTTTACACTCTCATAGTTTTAGGTCCTTGAATCCACTCCTCTCCTTAAAACAAAATACACTATTGTGCTTGAGTGAGTGAGGGTTTGGAAAACTAGAACTGCAACTGCGAATCAACCTTACAATAGCTAGAGGTTAGTGTTCTCAATAAGTTTCACTTCCGCATAGCCTTATTACGGTTTTCATTTGGTTTATTTACATTACACACATACAATGTTTAACTTATTCTATCAAAAGTTTGCTCTATTCTTAGCTTGCTATATATATAAAAAGATTAAAACTCTCTATTTGTTCAAATATGTCATTATTATAGTCAACCAAAAAAAATCACATAGAGTACATTTCATCATTCTTCAACTACTATATCTTGCATTTGTAAAAAGTTTAAAACATTTATCATACTTTATTGTCATGCATTAAAAATATTTAAAGTCAATAATCTCAAGGTTGTCCTTTGAAATATATACTTATGTTGTAAGAATGTTGTAACATTATCCATATTGTCAAAGGAATAGAGAATTAAGGAAACCTAAACTTAACACCTCAAAACGATACTGTCACCAAATTAAAAGTTATAAGCAAAAGAGCTCACTGTTGTGGAGGTATTAATTAAATCCCACAAATCAATAGAGCTAATCAACTTCAAATCAGGTTGGCAGAGTTGAAAATTTGATCAGTGAAAGTTCTGTCACGTTGTTCTAATGATAATGACATGGATATGTATTATCCAGAATTCGATCATGGATAACTTATTCGTTTTAAGTCTTATATAGTAAAACTTGAGAGAAAGAATGAGATAACAAAATATTATAAAAACATTTATTATGTATTTTTTTTCCCTGTCACATTACGTAGTTATTTAGATGTAATGAATATATTTCAATAGTTATTTTTCAAGTAAGGATTACAATTTTATTTCTCTAAAAATTATGTGAGAGAGTTGAAATTTTTATCTAATCATAAATTATAAAATAATAAAATTATGATAAAAAATTTTAAATACAAGTAAAAGATGTTAAATTACGTTAAATATGTGTTATTATTATTATTATTATTATTATTATTATTATTATTAAAGTTGCTTTCAACTTTAAAAAATGCAAAAAGTTAATTTTTCCACCGAAGTTCACAAAAATAGGGGTAATATTGACATTGAATGTTGTTTTTTCTTCTCTTTAGTATTAACAGGAGGCTCACCCCTTGGGTTGTGTTTTTGCAGTCTTGGCATCATCTAACATTTGAAAATTTGATCAAGTAGCAGCAGCCATAATATTTCCTTCACCAAAGGCGATGATAGCGTAGAAATCTGAGGTGTCCAATTTGCTTGCTTATGAGTGTGTAAGCATGAATTAACGTTATTTATCCTAAAATAATAACGAAAACGTACAAGTCATGAAAATAAATAGTCAAGTATAGAGGTTCACTCCTTTATTTGTTTTAAATTAGAAAACTGACACTTAGCTATGCTTATTCGGCAATACACGTGATTGTAGTGTATTTGTCAATGTTTGGTAATGCAATAGTTAGAGTGAGAAAGAAACGACGCTGCTTGTAGCTCCATTCAGAATTGATTAATCAACAAAGGTTTACAAATAAGAATAATGATTATTTGACTTTCTTTGAGGTGTATATATCCAATACGTAAGAATAAAGAGGAAAACAAGAATAGGTATATATACAATCAATAATGTAACGTAAAAATTGGAGTGTGAAAAACATTATAATTACGGTATATAATTAAGTTTTTGAAAGTGGGATAATTAAGTCTTGTGCATTAGATTTCCAAGAGAACAATTGGTATGACTATAGTATTCTATGATCTATCCGCATGCGTTTTGGGTGTCAAATACATAATCAATGATCAAGTATGATATGTGCAACAACTAATTTTCATATTATCTAATAAAAAGGTTTTGATTAGGCAGATCAATTAAGCTCTCAATTTTCATTTCTTTTATTACACAGACAGGGATATAGGGCATGTATCAACCAAGCACTTAAAGTATATTAAAGAACCGCATAGTTAATGAACATGCCCGTGTAATACTGTCTCCAAACACTTTAACTGTAAAGCAAGTAGAAGATAATGTCTTTCCCTTGCGTGCTGAAAAGGGGGAGCATATATCCTACAAATGCCCTTAGCTGCTCCTGCTTTCATTGCCAGATAGACAGATACTCTTTCATGTGCTAAGATAATTTTAAGTTTATCATTTCCTTAATCAAGACCCTACCATACCCAATTCAATTGGGAATGCAATTAAAGCTTTTGTCACTTGGGTACAAATAGGGGTATTGAGTGCAATATATAAATGCAATAAAATTTAAAAAATTAGAATATGTGTATGACAAAAATATACTAAGTAAAATATTTTTTTATAAATTGTTTATATTTTAATAATTATTTTTTGTTTTAATATAGCTTATATTTATATTGATTTATCATCATCATCATCACATTACTATAATCACTGGCACACTACACCACCAAGCAGCAAGCATCACCTAATGGTTCGTAGGTTCTTAACAAATTTGAAGAAGGAAAGAAAAAAAATCATAAAAAAAATGTATAACATTGGCCTATAAAGTTGGTTGGGGATGCATGTGCTGTGGTCTGGCCTACAAGATTAGCGGTTGGGAATCCCAACTAGAACCAGCGCATGTGCACTTGATTTCTCACTTGTTGTGTGGCTTTAGGGAAAGAAACCCCACCAATGTGCATGTTAATCACCAAATGATGCTTATAAATAGAGGCCTCCCTGTTGCATTCAATATCAAAGCAGCAAAAAAACTTCACATTCCCCTGTTTGATCAAAAGACTTTCCATGGCACCCCATGCATATTCTGTTGTGTTAGTAATTCTCTTTTTTCTCTTCATTCACATGCACTTGCAGGGTGCCACCGCTGACTATGGTGATTGGCAGGGTGGCCACGCCACTTTCTATGGTGGTGGTGATGCTTCTGGCACAATGGGTGAGTTTTGCTTCTACCTATGTTTAACAATTTTTTTACGTTGTGTATTTTTTGAGAGGGGGATTGTTTAGAGGATGGAGCTATGTTTGGGTCTGCGGCGCTTACTTCAAAGGTTTTTAAAATTTTTGGGTAACTAAAATAAATATGATTAGCTATCTTAAAAAATATATTTACTGTTTCAAAATTTGTAAGAGAAAAAATAAAAATGTAAAATAAATTAAACTTTTAACTAATAGCATCAATTTTTTAAATATATCTTTTACAATTTTATTAACCTTCGCATTTAAACTAAACTTTAAGAACTGAGTTTTTTTTTTTTTTTTTACTTTTTAAAAAGTTGACCTGCATGAATTAACTGTAACTTATAAAACAAAATTATTTACCTTATCATTACTACTTGGCCTAAATACAAAACATCGACAAATTAAGACTTTTATTGATCATATAATTTGACTAGTCTAATAAATATTTTTTGACTCAGCTCTGATTGTTGAGAAGGTGGGGTTTACTTAACCCTTTGGTTTGATCCATATAGGAGGTGCGTGTGGTTATGGGAATTTGTACAGTCAGGGGTATGGAACCAACACTGCAGCTCTCAGCACTGCTTTGTTCAACAATGGCTTGAGCTGTGGGGCATGTTATGAAATGAGGTGTGCTGATGATCCAAGATGGTGCAAGCCTGGCACCATTGTTGTCACTGCTACAAACTTTTGTCCACCAAACTTTGCTCTGTCCAACCATAATGGTGGTTGGTGCAACCCTCCTCTTCAACACTTTGATATGGCTGAACCCGCATTCTTGCAAATCGCCCAATATAGAGCTGGAATTGTGCCTGTGGCATTTAGAAGGTATGTGCAGCCACAAACCTTGTAGTTTTCTCAAGCTTTAATTGCCTTACAACTATACAATTCATGAATCATTAACTAATTACAAGGTTCCATTAATTCCCTAACAAAACCAAAAAAAATAATATTAATGTTTTGAAAGCCAATTCCACGCTCATCCGAGACCTAATAAAAATCAACCATTTGTTCTTTGTATTTTGTAACACCTGGCCTACTCTGCACCATAGAAAATTGGGGTTGCTTCTACAAACATCACTATCCAGCTTTAATGTTGACGAATTTGAGTGAGCGCAAAGGGCTTGGATAACCCTTCAAATTACTAATAAAATATCATATTTATTTTTTTAAAAAAATTAGGGACTAAATTTCGTGATAACCTTTTTGAAAAATCAATATGATAATAATTTATTCCCAGTGTACTTGGTGGATGACGCTTGTAATCTCATTCCTTTTAATAAATAAAATGTCTTATTCCTTATGATAAACATTCTATAAGATTCAAATTGGAGTATTGGTACTTGTTCTCATTCAATTATCCTGATTAAGATGTGACAACATATTTAACAATTATCCAAGAATGATCGCCGAAGAAAAAATGAATAAGTTTCCGAAATTTTCCTGTGCTGGAGATATTATTTGATGATGACAATAGAGTGCATATAGCTTGTTCTAAAATTCTACCAACTTACTTTCTAAGCTTTTTTTCTTATTTGGTGACGATGACAGGGTTTCTTGTGTGAAAAAGGGGGGAATAAGATTCACAATTAATGGACACTCTTACTTCAACCTGGTTTTGATCACCAACGTCGCGGGTGCAGGGGATGTCCATGGAGTGTCAATCAAAGGGTCAAGAACTGGCTGGCAACCAATGTCAAGGAACTGGGGGCAAAACTGGCAAAGCAACTCCTACCTCAATGGACAAAGTCTCTCTTTCCAAGTCACCACCAGTGACGGTAGAACTTTGACAAGCAACAACGTGGCAACATCTAACTGGCAGTTTGGTCAGACCTTCCAAGGGGGTCAGTTTTAGAATTTGCAATGTGGGGTAGGTTAGCTAAAATGTTTGTAATCAAGATAAAAGTAAAGAAAAAATGCTAATTGCTAAGAGAGGCATTGATCCTTGGAGCTGTGTGATTCTGGAAAGGTAGCTGAGGTGATCATTATATTATGGCACCCGCAGGGGACTCACAAATGTATTATGTACTGTTATTTTATTTGAATATTAATTTATAATTTTAAATCATTTTCCATTCACTCTTTTCTTTATCTACGAAGGAAGATCTATCTTTAATTTCTTTTATAAGATTTGAGAAGTAATTAATTTTGTGATATGATTTTTTTTAAGAATTTATTTTGACATTCCGATTTTATTTTATTTTTTGTATTCAAGACACATACTTAGTTGCTTAATTAATGTAACTAAATAAGTTTACTATTTCAAAAGAGAAAAAAAAATAAAAGGAAAAGGCTATATATATATATATATATATATATATATTGCGTTTGGTAATTTTCACCTCTGCACAAATTTTAAAAAAAATTTATAATGATAAAATATATTATGGATAGGAATTAAAATAAAAAATATTTAAATATGAGATGATGAAAATTACTGTTTAAAATTATTTTTAAAAAGTTTCATATAGAAATTAAAATAATATTTTAAAAAAATATCCTCACCGACTTTAACCTACCATCTGTACCCTCTATGACTTCTCCCATGTGCACACAAAATCTATCCTCCCCAGTTATTCGTTAAAAGTACATGTACAAATCTGTTGGCTTGGATCACTCTCACGCATAAAGCCCAAGTCTATGTGAGTTATATTGTGGTTTATGTCATGACCAAAAGAACCGCAGGCATGTTTTTTTATTTAATAGAAATTTATGGCAAAATGAGGGGAAATGTTGTATAAAATGAGAGAGAAACATGGGACCATTTTTTTTATCAAGTGAGCAGAAGATCGACCCCTGGATTTATTTATGTATAATTCACGTTTGAACTTATATAATGGGTGAGATTTAACATAGCAGGGGTTTGATTCTTCTTTAAATATTGTATATATCGGAGATTGAAGATGGTTCACGCGTGGTTTGTAATTTTTATATTTTATAAATGCGTAAACTAGACAAATATCCTGCAATTTTTTGGTATTGACTTTTTCAAATAACCATTTTTGCTAATTTTAATATACTTTTATTTTGTATTAAATGAGAATAGTCAAATGTTCTCCTATTTAAGTATTCCCTTGAAGTGTTTTTAATTGCTTACTATTATTATATTTAACACTTTTAAATACTAAAACAACTTTAAGACCAAATTCTTATATAAAGGGAGATTTTAAGAGTTCTTAACTTTTAAAATAATTACCATAAATATTAATTATTTCTAATGATGCGGTAATGTATATTATGAATACATAATAATTTTCTATCAACTGAAGGATACACACGTATAGAAACTTGTGGATCCGTTACATGTAATTGAATTCATTTGGTGGACTATTGAATAACAACTTTCCAAGAAGGGCATTGAAGTTAGCTAGACCTTGTCTTTGACGACGAGTAGTTTGTTTCCTCTGTATTATTCCTTCTTTCTTTCTCTCTTGTCTCTAACTCTCTTACAACCTCATCTTTATGGCACCTCACGATTTCGGTGCTTGATTTCACACGTTCGTGCGTAAGCATGTATAAATTGTAGTGAACAGTCATCTCGGCCTTCAGAATTCAAGTTTCATAGGTTTGTCGGCATGTGTTCTATATATGAAACATTGCTTTCAGATATTTGATTGTTGGAAATGTCTTTTCCCAATATGAGATATCTTTTACAATGTTTTTGGATAAAAATAGAATAAAATATGTTGTTTAAACGACTAAAAACGCATTAAAAAAATTATATTTTCTTTATTTAAATTGCACTTTGTAATTGTTAAACCAATGTTATAAGGACCTTGTAAATATAAATTTATTATAATATATATTTTATTTTTAATAAATACTTTCAAATTTAAAGTAAAGATAATAAGATTGTAAAACTGATAAGTGCTTTAACATGTTACTTAAATAGTCGGTTGTGATCAAGTTGATAATTGTTATTCTAAGAAATGCTAGCAATACATCTACTTGATCATGTTCTTCACCACACTTTTTATAATTTGTTATTTTAAAATAAGTTAAATCACTTAGCTTATAAATTGATCACTTTTTTAATTACTTTAACTTTTTTTTTAAATTAATCAATCACATAAACATAAGTGCATGTTTAAAAGAGTATATTACGAGTATTTCTTTAATTATTATATATATTTTTATATTAAGCTTTTATATAATTTTTTTAAGTAGGGTTTTTTTCTCGACAAATCGCATGATATTATTAGCATTCTAATATTTTCAAAAATCAATATTATTTTTAAAAAATTTAAGATTTTATTAGCTTTTTTTTTATTTTTTACTTTGCAATGACTACCAACATAAGTCAAAGGCAATCATTATCTCATGTTGACTTTTTTTATAAACTTTTCAAAATAATGATTTTAGAGAACTAGTTTTACCTGAAGAACTAAAGAAGATGAGACATCATATAATTTATATTGATTCACACTGAATACTAGGGTTACGTCTAATCTAAGATCTAAGATCGGGATTTTTATTATTTTTCACAAGAACTTAAAAATTTACAAACTCAAGTGCACTTGCAATAATTTTTTGTACACTTTTTCAGGTTCTCTAAACATTTTAAAAATTTGAGTTTAATTAAAAAAAAAACTTTGAAACCTTTAATTTAATAGTTAAAAATTTATATATCTTAATTTTTTTCTTCATGAATGTCTGTTATGATTATATAAATGCCTGTTTGTTTAGATCCTTTGATAGTTTTAGTCCTTTGTTTTTTTTTTTTTTTTGCTATTTTAGTATTTGGTATAAATAAAAGAAGAAAGATACCTACGAAGTCCAATTTCTTGATGCTATAGACAAAACCAATTACAAACCCTGGGAAAAGGAAGAACAATGAAAGGAAGAAACCTCCCAACGCCCATCATAATAAATAAGAATTGTCCAACAGTATATAAAAACAAAGTTGACTCATGAATCGACAAGAATTGAAAAACCATTTCTTCGTTTATTGATATGAATACAATATATTATCTTTTAACATGCATTTGAAGAAACATAATAAAAATTTATATATGATAATTTTTTACTGAAAACAATAAAGTATAAAAATTTAATGTATTAATAATATTAAATATTATAATTTTTAATACAGGTTAAATAACACACGTTAAGAAATAATAACCGTACATTAAATAGTTTAAATTATCATAAAAAGTATGAATTGAATATTTCTTCAAAATAATAAATATAATATTTTGAATAAAATGTTTATATTTTTAAATTTTAACGTGTACTCACATACACATATTAAAATATTTGTTTAATGAAAAAATTAATTTCTTAACATGGATTTTGCTGAATTTAAGCATTCAAAAGTTAATAAATTTTTGTAAAAGGAAAATATTTGTCACGTTAAAAAAAATACAATAAATATTTATTTTTCGAGTAAAAACTTATTATTACTATACTTATTTGATTGTATAATATAATGTTAATGTACGTATTATACATTATTTTGTTGGAAAGGCAAGGCCCAAATTTGGATCCATTTAACATGACTATTGCATCAAAATCTGAAATAGGAGCCTGCGATGCGAGTGTCGGAGTCGGTTTCTTCAAGCATCAAGTACTAAGAAAGAAAGAAGAGCCCTATTTTCCTTTTCCTTTTCCTTTTCCTTTTGTTGCCCTTTCCCTCTTCCCTCTGCTCTCAATTTTATATTTTAATTTTCCTCAGCCCTTTCTCTTTTCCCTTTCGTATCACAAAAAACAGCCACGCGCCACTGTTGCTAGATTCACACCAACTCTCTCTGCCCCGGACTCAGATTCCGGGTCGGGTCGTTCCCATTTTCCATCTACATGGGCGATCTTCATGTGAACGGCGTCGTTTTCGGGGAGGATCGCCCCTGCGCCTCCTCCCCGCCTTCGCCGCCGCTTCCACCTTCTAATCCCGATCCGTCCTCCGTCTCGCCGGACGCTTGGTCGGCGGCCGAGAAAACCACCGCCGAGATTCTCCGCCGCATACGGCCGACCGTCGCCGCTGACCGGAGACGGAGGGAGGTTGTTGATTACGTCCAGAGACTCATTCGATCCGGCGCTCGCTGCGAGGTGATGTAGTTTACTCTCTTCGATTCTCGTTGATTCAATTGTCGTCACTACCGTGGTTTTAATTCGTTTTTGTTTTTTCTTTTCCAATTGAATTTCAACGTTACTTTGAGGATCTTGGCGTGCTTATTCGGTGTTTCGGTTTGTTTTTGTGATTTTGATGATTCTGACGGTGTTGGAGGCGAATTTGGAGTTGTTTGTCGTGTTGTGATAGAGCTGCCTTTGAAATTAGGGCACATTAGTAATCAACTTGTTTGGTAGGAAAGAGCGGGGTAAGTGTCCGATGGTAAATTGGTTATGGAACGAACTCTCTCTGCCTTTACTCATGAGGTAGAAAGAAAAAGAATGTGCTAGTTGACGGATTCAACGAGTTTACTCTTGGCACTGGTGGTTAGGGCTGCTGAATGTGAAAGAAAAAATTGTGTGATTTGTTGTGTCCTAGATTTATATGCCTAACAATGTCAAGTAGAACCATGGAAGAATGAACACTTCAAAATAGTAGCTATGTTGGTTTTGTACTCATGATGGCACATTTTAATGTCAGTTGCTAGACACTTCACAGGCACTTTGGATATTTGCTGAAATGTGTATTATCACACTAATGAACTGAATATATTTCTGTCACAATAAGATATATTAAAACATCTTAGTGTGATGACAGGATTCTTTCTAATGTGTTATAACATCACTGATGTTAAATTTTCTTTTTTTTAGGTTTTTCCATATGGGTCAGTTCCATTAAAAACATATCTTCCGGATGGTGATATTGATTTGACTGCCCTCAGTTATCAAAATGTTGAGGATGGTTTGGTATCTGAAGTTCACGCTGTTCTTCAGGAAGAGGAAATCAATGAAGCTGCTGAATATGAAGTAAAGGATGTTCGTTTCATTGATGCAGAGGTTCTTCCACTCTCTTAATTGATGCCTTATGAGAAATTGAATACAGTTTGGTTTGAATATTCTATGGCAAATTAAATTAGAAATTTAGGGTTGTTATGCGAATGAGCCTGAACAATCTGCAACTTCATTTACTTTTATTTGAAAGGGAATATATTTTACTCTTAAGGATGGGAATGTTTGCAAGCATTTTTTTCTCCTCTATATTGAAACTTTGAGGTGTTTTCAAACATTCAGAAAATTGCCTTTTCCCTTACCCTTTGTCTCTTTTCCAAAGCAGGCATGTTAAGAGTGTTCTGTTTATGCTTTATGCTAAGTAAGTTATGGGAATGTCTTTACCCCTCCCTAACTTGTTGCTTCCATCTTTGCAAAGGTACTTTATTTTGGCAGCTTTGACTGGAATCTGGAGCAGATCCTTGCAATTCAGTTTAATTTTTTATATATTTTCCTGTATCATATCTGTACAGCAAAATTCTTACATCTGTCTGTGTAGAGTTTGCTAAACTAATGTACTAGGCTGATTCTGCTATCCAGTCTGTTGTTGGAATAACTTATTCAACTTTTATATTCCTTATATGCAGAAGTATTGAAACCTTGTAATTTCTAAAGATGCTTAATATAGGTCTTTGTTGCAATATTTGTTTAGTGATTTTCTATTTTTGATTTTATGTGTTGATATTTTTATGTTTTCATATGTTTGGGTTCTTTTCTTATGCAGGTTAAACTTGTTAAATGTATTGTACAGAATATTGTTGTAGACATCTCTTTCAATCAGCTAGGAGGACTTAGTACATTATGTTTTCTTGAGAAGGTATTATTGGACGTGTCCTCTTAAGACTGCCAATAATTTTTGTAATGCAGCATTTTTCATATGTACTTTTCTGCTCTTTCACTTAACATTTCAGAAAGCAGGATATATATATTTTCTTAAAATTTAAAATTTTCTTTATTTTATTTGAGTCTCAGGACTTTTGAAACAAGAATTATATGTTATGTGCCACAGCATCTATATGTATCCACATATCCTAGTTTGGAATTAGTGTGCATTAGAGCAGTTTGACTCTTCCTTTTGTTTTATATTATATTATATTGTATCTGGTGTTGACTTAATTTTTCTCTTATAATTTACAGGTTGATCGACTTGTTGCCAAGGATCATCTTTTCAAACGTAGTATTATCCTGATAAAAGCTTGGTGCTATTATGAGAGTCGTGTTCTGGGTGCCCACCATGGCCTGATTTCAACATATGCTTTGGAAACACTGGTGCTGTATATTTTCCATCAATTTCATGTGTCCTTAGATGGTCCTCTAGCAGTAAGTTCTCCATCAAATCTATGTGAATCATACTTTCTCTTGAAAGAAGGAAAAGAAAATCTGCATCACATGATGATGGTGATGCATCCTTTCATTAAGAATTTTGTGCACTCTGCCCTTTTTCCAGGTTCTTTACAGATTTTTGGACTACTTCAGCAAATTCGACTGGGACAATTATTGTGTTAGTTTGAAGGGACCGGTTAGCAAAACTTCTCTGCCTAACATTGTTGGTAGGAAATTGTTTGTATCATTAAGTAGCTTTATGTTTTTTGTTTCTTTTTTGTGTAATTTTCTGTTTCTTGTTGTGTAAAGCTGAGGTGCCAGAAAATGGGGGAAATACTCTGCTGACTGAAGAATTCATTAGAAGCTGTGTAGAATCATTCTCGGTACCTTCAAGGGGGCTGGATTTAAATTTGCGTGCATTTTCCCAGAAACATCTAAACATCATTGATCCATTAAAGGAAAACAATAATCTGGGTCGCAGTGTTAATAAAGGTATGTGGTATAACTTTTATTCTGAATGGCTGTTGAGTTGTATTTCAATGTTACGCATTTAGGATGTGTTATGTTATTCTGAACCTAGTTTTAATGCGTTGTCTTGCTTTATGAAGATTTTTTTGTTCAATGGAACTCTTTTATGGAGGGGAGAATCTGTAATATTGAATATTTATTAAGGAATAACTATATTCCTCGTTTCAAAGGATTTAAGAAGGAGATAATAGATCAATCTGAAGCAAGTTCAGCAGTTACTTGGTGATAGAAAATTCTCCTAAAAAGGAGGGAAGGGAAGAATTTAAAAGAATCATTTGCGGCCTTTTCTACTAAGACTTTGTTCCTTGTTGGCTTCATAAAGAACTTGTCTAATGTTGCTACTATGTCTGGACCTCAACATTCTCCAGCCTTCATCAATTACAGGATTAAATATATTTCTTTTATCTAGAATATATTTACTACCAAGGATCTGAGAGAACTGTGTCCATTTATGAGACCCAATGTCAGTTTTGCTATTGCAGTAGCTTCTAAGTAGATTTTTTTCCTTAGTACATTGCAAAGAGTCTCCCCCATCTCTGGCTCTCTGCTTACTGGCATCTTCAAGTTGCTGAATGACTTTAGGTTTTGATGGGAGTATTCAGAAAAATGATAATGGGCTCAGTTATGATATAGGCCCAGTGTCCCAATATCACTGAAAGTGTACGTGTGGAGGAGGCAGGAGAATTTTCCAAGCAGTGAGTGGGTTATATGCCACATAAGGATGGTTTGCTAGGAGGAGAGGAGATTGGTTTTTTTTTTCTTGGGGGGGGGGGGGGGTGTCTTGTAGAGGAAGTGTGGGTTTTGTGTAATTCATTTTTTGAAGTTGTAAGTGCAGAGGTTTTAATGATAGTCTCTCAGTTTTTCACTCCATTTTCTCTGTTCCCATTCTTAGTCCCCTCAGGTTCACTCACAAAATAATGGACCACCTGAAATAATCAAATAGTTTGTTTCTAGAGATGCAAGTGAGGAAGATTTTAGAAGAAGTCATTGGCTTACAGCCTCTTTGCATGAACTAATTTTACGTTAATTGTGCTTTTCTAGACTTCCACAATAATACACTTGTGAAATTAATTCATTAAGACGGATTTTGAAACCCAAATAATCTGTTTTGTGGTTGATTTTATGTGCTAGGAAATCTTAGGTTCAGGCAATAAAACCTTTTGGATAACAGACATTGGTAGGTGTGTATAATTTTTCAGACTATATTGGCCTGTAGTTGTTGATAGTGCCCCTGCAGTGGTGTTGCAGCACTTGGCAGACAGGCTGCTTCAGCAAAACTGTTGTTTCACAAATTGATGGAGAGTCACCCCAAGTAGTACTATTTAGTGGTTGTGTGGCTGTTATTGGCATAAGGGTGTTGAAGAACCTTCTTTACTTCTGATGATTAGTTGTCCATCCAAATTTTGGGTGTAATTTCATAATTTCTCCACATTTTGGGAGAGTTCAAAACCCTTTAAAACAGGCTGAATCACTCGCTACTTTCACCAATATCTCCTCTATTTGATGCAAACCATCTGACCCAGAGCTCTCAGGTGCTTTCCTGGCCAACCCACAATCCATAGCTCTCCAGTGCACTGTTATGTGGTCTCTGTTCTGCTCATGTTCTCTCTATACTTTCATGCTTCCAGTGTCATGTTCAGCTAGGTGTAGGTAGCCTTGTTTTGCTCTTTCTTGATATGCTTTTCCTATATTAATTTACTTTTTTATTCACTTGTTTGTTTTGTCTAAATTTTACTTTTAATTATTAATTATGAATTTATCTGTAGTTTTTCATAATTTTTAATTTTGAAAATTTGTGTATTATAAATTATCTAGTTTTTATCTATAAGCTTCAAAATAGTCATCATCCTGGGACACCTGCTATCCTGATGTAGTGGTTTTAGGGTTCGGTACCACTATTTTGCGTGGATAACTATGCATTGACCTTAATGAATTATTAAAATCCCAAACTTCACAAGCACTTCTTGAAATGTCCATCTCATTGACCTTTAATTGTGAACCACACTTGTGCAGTTGATCTTATTAACTGTACTTGAATAAGCACTTAAATTAATTATCCAAAGTTTCAAACAAGGCATTGCTAAGGTGACTTCTGTGGGGATTTAGTTCAATGCTTCCCTTCTTGAAGCCTAGTGATAATCCCTTTGGTAATGTTGTCATCATTCATGGGAACCTGGCTTGGTTCCCATATAACCCCACTCATTTTTGGTAAGAAAGAAAACCCCAAAAGTAAATCAGTGTACCTCACCTCATCCATCTGTAAAAGGTAAAAAGAATGTTGACATGGGCCTCACCACACCTAGAATGGCTTTCAGAATGTATCTTTCTCCTTCGTAGATGCCATCGAGACTGAAATTGCAGTGGTAGACATTTCTCCTCACATGCCACATCAGCATGTTTCTTATGGAGGTACTTGCTAGTTGTAAGAGGAAATGATAATTGGTTAGAGTTCAGTGCATTGAGATCTGTATTAACATCTATTAGCCAGTTGATATAAAGTAAAATTGTCTTTCATGATCTTGATGAACCTGCATCATGCCTTGTGTGTGTTAATTTTAAAGTGCTTGTGTTTTTCTTACGAACAGTAGCAATAGATATGTATGGATGAAACCAAGATTGTGAAACTATCATATTCTAAGGGTTCTCTTCAATTTTAGTTGAGCCTAAGTGTCTAAATTTAAGTTATCTCTTGAGGTGAAAATTGCCTATAATTTTATAATCTATACTTTGGCTATATCTATAGTCGATGTAGATCTCAATACAAATCTCTCACGCCCTTGAGTGAAAATTGTAGAACTATTTCTTTTCTTTTATATTCCATTGAGAAAGCTATGGGACTAACTAGATTGAGCTAAAAAATCCACTAAATTAGGTAAATTGTACTAGAAAATCTATAAGGCTAGTTTAATTGCTCTATAGAATTGATTTTTGGACAGTTGAAGGTGATCCAATATTAGATCTATGACAGGTTCTAGTACTATCTTTGATGGGCTAAGCCTAACTTAACTCCAAAGTTTAGCTCTTGAGATGAGGTTTGTCTAAGCCTTTATAAGCTCTACGTCAATCATATTCAACACATACCTCCCACACTTAGGGTTGGAAATGGACATTTGGGGTGTGGAGATTTTAGGGTTTAGGGTTGATTTTTTTATAGATATATTACACTAATAAATCCATGATGCTAGGTTGATTGTGCTGGAAAATATGTGGGGCCAAGATTTTGGACATTTGAGGGTGACTCTGAAATCTATAATAGGCTTTGGTATTATCTTGATTTTAGACTAGCTCTTGAGATGGAGATTGACTAAGCCTTTATAGGCTCTATTCTAATCATATTTGTAGTTAATGTGGGATTCTAACAGGTTTAAATGTATTTTTGTCCCTGTACTTTAAAAGTTCAGTCCTAATAATTTTAATTCGTATCAGTTTTGGTCCTTCCCACCATCAATATGTCACCCTTCAGTAGACAACCATTAAGAATGTTTGGTGAATATGGGGCCAAAATCTAAATAGGATGAAATTATGATTAATGAAACCTTAACAGATGAAACTCTAGAAACCAAAAACTGAACTGTTAATGGATTGGAACCGAAGTCAAAATCTAGATAAATCATAGAAACCAAAATTGTACTGACCTATTTTAAATTTATTGTGAGCCAACATAATTGCTATGGCATGGTTATGTTGAGCAAAATGATTAAACCACCTATTATAAGTGTCTGCTAGATTGCAGTGCAGTAAATCAGTTAACTTCCCTCCATTCTTGTCTGCAAGATTGTACCAGCATAAATTAAGAACACAGTAATGTGTTCTCTTCCCCATACTATGAAAATAGTAACAGCAATCTACTACATCTACTATACCAGTGCAACACTACTGATAATGATGCTTTGTATTCTTTATTTATGGACCCAATGAGTAATAAAAAATAGTCATGGAAGCTTTGCTCTTTCATCTAATGTATCGTTATAATAGTAATGTTCATTTACTTCTTTCAGGTAATTTCTATCGAATACGCAGTGCATTTAAGTATGGTGCCCGTAAACTTGGCTGGATTCTTATGTTACCAGAAGATAGAATAGCTGATGAGCTTAATAAGTTCTTTGCAAACACATTAGTTAGGCATGGAAATGCTCAAGGGAATGAAGACAAGTCATTTTTGTGTTTATCTACTGGATCCATATGGAAACCTGGAAATCAACATAATTATGAAACCAGAAATGAAAAAGAAAGGTATGCAGTTAAAGATGTCCCCTCTTTGGCAGGGCCATTATTTGACTCCTCTTGGGATGGAAATGCTGTTGCAAGTTTCAAATTTCGTGAAGATTCAAAGGATGTTCCAACATCTGAAGTCTTGGATATTGCAAGCACTGGTGGTTTGTCATATTGTTCAAATGGGAAATTTGAAAGTAGTTTATCTAGTGGTGAATCATTTGTAAATTCTGTTATTGATGATGAGAAAGAAAAGCATGGTATGGCAAGCAATTCTCCCGGATCACATACTGATGAAAAGAATATAGCATCTTATGGTTTGGCAGTTTCGAAAGATGCTATTGTCCTTGAAAATAGTTTCTTTAATAGTGATAGACCTACTAGTGTTTCTGAGGGCACTGAAGGTTCAAAATCGTTGTTGGACCTTACTGGGGATTATGACAGTCACATTGGGAACTTACAATATGGTCAGATGTGTAATGGTTATACTTTCTCTCCAGTTGTTGTGCCTAGTCCTCCTAGGTCTCCAAAGTTTCAGAACAGGAATCCGTGGGAAACTGTTCGTCAATGTCTACAGATTAATCACAGCATTCATTCTCAGACAAACTCAAATTGTGTCATGGGTCAACAACTTTATGTAATAAATCATCCTACTCTACCAATGGCTTTTGGTCCGGAAGAGAAGAGAAAATTACGAGGAACTGGCGCATACTTCCCTAATATGGTATTTATAAAGTTCAGTTATTAAAATTGGACTCATACACGTACTTCTACACTATTTACACACACACATATCCAGTCATCATCTAACTGTTAAAGCTCATAATTTTGCAGACTTCTCGATCATACAGGGACAATAGGCCAATACCAGGGAGGGGAAGGGGTCAAGCACCAGGTATTCATGGACATATTCAGAGACACACTCGTAACAGTGGCATGGCCCTAGCTCCACAAGAGACAAATTTGTCTGCAGAAGGAACTTTTGAGCATACTGCAGAAGGATATCCTGCCCTTGGTAGTACTAAAACAAGATCATCTGAAACATATTTCTCTCAACCTTCAACATGGGGATCACGCTATGCTAATGGCATTCACTCAACTGAAATACACGAGTCTGGATCCATGAGCCCTCAGCTTCCTGTATTGCCAAGAACTGAAGTGAGCAATTACCCAGATTCTGGCATTTCTCCTTCTAGGGGCACAGTGCCCAACACTGGGGCAGTGACTGAGGAGAGGTCTAATCCACTGTCTCTAGTTGATTCCAAAAGGTAATAAAACTTTTCTGTTGATGCTTATTTGTTGATACAGAGATTGCTTATGATGCTAAATCACTAGCAACTTTCTATAGAGCTTAAAGCACTATATAATCATAGTTTGTACTCCTAGTTTTCATTTCCTTTAAGGGGGTGTCTATGGTTTGAGATTCAGGGTTGAAGTGCAAGCTTATCATTTGAAGAATGAAGATGACTTTCCTCCACTTTCCCACTGAGTGCCACTAAAGGATGGTGAATATGTAATAGCATTAACAGTAATGGTCAATACATGGAAACTATTATGACTTGCCTACCTTTCAGCAGGTGCTACCAAAGGATGGCGATTTTGTAAGAAGTAAGAACAATGTGCATTCGTCTCAAAAATGAAGATAGCTTCCCTCAACTCTGGGTGTCTTCTAGAGATTGGTGAACGCATAGAAATGAGAGTACCAAATAAGTAGAAATATGCTGGGATAGCCATAGATACTAACAAACTAGACTAAACTAGATTGAGTGTTGTTATCCTTATTCTCTCTTACAGTTTGTCTTTTGTACAGAAGTGCATGTATATTCTGGTTACCTTTTTTGTCTCATACATCCGTTTTTATTTTTCATTATTTAGGGATGTATATATCAGGTGATTTCCTGAGGTTGAGTTTATAGTTCTGTTCTGTTGTTTGTAGTTTTGAAGTGTAAAACCAAAAGTTTTAGATATCTTACTGGAATGGATACCCGGAATTTCTGTCACCTGCTGCCCTGCAGTAAATATATTTTAGTGTGTTTACCTTGGCATTTGGGTGTTTTTGCCCATGATTTTATGCGTGGCCATGCTTGATGTACACAAGAAAGGCTTCAATGTTTCATATGCTTTATCTCCAGTGAGGAGAGGCGACCGAAAATATCTGTGATGCACCCCCAACTCTTTACTAGCTGTGGTTTTTTTTGCAGCCCGTTGACTTTGATGATTTTTTCTAGTGTATATACAATATGATAGATTAGGTGCTGAGTTGTGAATTTAATAAAGGTGGCCTAGTCAGTTTATTTTTATTTTTCTACCTTGGGCGGGAGGCTGTGGTGGTCTGGTGTTGGATAAAAGGGAATAAATGAAAGCTTAAGTAAAGTAATACTTCTGGAGGACAAAATGGAGTGCTTTCTTAAAATGGTTTAGTCATGACGTGAAAAGAAGACCAAGATAGTAGAGTTGATGGGGAAAAAATTACTCTAAAAGCACAGGTAGGAAATGGTCAAAGAAAACTTCTAAGTGAAAACGTTACAAAAGATCTTTATGTAAACTACTACTATTATTATTATTATTATTATTATTATTATTATTATTATTTGTGAATGAATCTTCTTTTGTTTCTGCCAAAGCCGCAAATTGGTTGGATATATGTAATCTCATTTAGTCAGTTTTTTCCCCTATTGATTGTATCTGGAATATTGATATTTCAAATATGAAGTGAAAAGAGATTAATGAACTGTTGCAGATTCCATATGCAGGCTGTTATTTTGGCAAGCAATGTGTTTTCTTCCATTTATTTAAATTGAGTAGTGGTTTTGTTTCTTTTATGTGATATTTTACCTATTTTTCTTAATGACAGCACTATCTTTGGTGGAGTCCATGACCATTCAAATAGCCTTGACGATGCGCCCGAGAAACGTGTATCGTAGTTTTCATGTTGTGTAGCTCAAAATGTTTTTTGTGAATAGACCTAGGCTTGATTGAACCTTATAATCCAGCCAAAAGCAGGATTCAGAATAGGAAAAATAAGCATATTCTTTGATTGGATGTATGTTGTATCTTATACTAGTAAAGAACTTATCATTGTACACAAATAAAATAAGGAACTTGTCATGAAGAGGTCCCCGATAGGATGTTTCATCTGGCTAGAGTTAGTTTAGCTTGGTGCGAAAATAAAACGGGGTAGAATTGCTTTTGTTCTTTACCAATTTTTTTTATTTATTAATATTGATGTTTCATTTTATAAACTATTTTGTTTTTAAAATGTATCAAAATGTAAAATAGAATGCGCATGTTAATTCGTTCTCATTCTGACATGTCCATTAAACGGTATCAGAGTATCATCGTCATCTTCATATTGCTGAATGCTGATAGCATAGCAATAATGATCCATTCGAAAGAATTGTCCAAATGGTAGCAAACTCTAAGCTTTGATTTTAAATTACACATCACTTTTTTTTAATGACTTGTTTTTTAATTGCGGTCTTTAGAACTTTTTACTTATCCTTTTTCATTATTTCAATTTTTTTCCCTAAATAAGTTATTTATGTTTTTCTAGTATTATAAACCACAATGTTGTACATAGAAAACGTTAACTTTTTAAATTAAATTATTTGGTACAACGAGAACAAACATAAAAGGGAAAAAATTTTATGTTTTCATAAATGCAAATCCAAATTTATGTATGCAAACGTAAGTTATATGCGGGCCAAAATATAATATATGATAAGGTCGTTACAGGGAATAAAATGAAGACTTCTTGAAAGAGATAAAATTAGCAAACAAAAATGTAATATATATATATATATATATATATATATATATATATATATATATATTTGTCACATAATATATCAATTTTTTACACACAAATTATAACTATTACTAAAATTTATTAATATTTATATGTTTTATTTTTATATTAAAATTTAACTTCATTTTCAATAAATAAATGCATAATCATGAATTTTAACTTAAATTTTTTTAATAATTAGCTCACTACTAGTTAATATTAGGAATATTAGGTCAGTCATAGTCGAGTTATAAAATAAAATAAAGTGCAATATAGATAAAAGAATCATTAATTTAATTTATGAAAATTTTGAGTACAAAATAATAATTCAAAGATTTTAGAGAATAAAGAATCATTAATTATTTTTAATTTAAAATTAATAAAATTAATTTTTTTTAAAATCAGAATTTTATATATAATATAAATTAAAAAAAACTAAAGGGGAAGGTGAAATTTATAATCTGGAATGAATTAAATGTAAATAAAATGTATGAAAGTAATAATCGAAGGCACCAGTGGTCTAGTGGTAGAATAGTACCCTGCCACGGTACAGACCCGGGTTCGATTCCCGGCTGGTGCATGCTGAGCAGTGACGAGGTTTGTGCCAGGTGTGATAGATGGGTCTATCACTATCCTCTGATACTTCAGAAGAAAGATGGCACATCAGAGCTCTTTTTTATTTCTTTCTTTCTTTCTTGGGCCTCAACTTCATCTTTTCCTTTTTATTCTTTAACTATCATCATCATTGCCAGATTACAGTTATCCTCACATAATTAAGAGTGCTCCGTACGTAATTCTCCAAATCGCACCACATATTTTCTTTGCTGGGTCACCCACTAAGCCAACATTCTCGTAGTGGCCAAAAGAGCAAGTCAATAAACAACATCCATTACAGTGTGCAGTTTCATGTCTCTTAGTGTGTGTGTGTGTGCATGCATGGCTGGATTCACCCCAATACACTCCATATATGAATTCATTATCAACAAACAGAATGCCATGTCTTTCTTTGTCGGCACTGAGCCTATGATTAGAGAAGTCTGAAGTTTTTTTCTTACATGTCTTAAATCTCAAATGAATTGTTGATAAAATTAATTAGTGCTTTTTACGTTACTCTTGAACTTGAGGTCACTAAATACTCTTTCTAAATTATACTAAAATATTAAAGAATATTTACATTTTTTTAAATAAATTACTAATTCTACTATTAAAATCAGCTGCTACAATTGTTTTATGTATAAGAAATCATATAATATTTCCTCAATTCTCATAATACGGTAGAATTTAACAAATTATTTTTCTTTTTTTTTCACTTTTTTAATGTTAAATAAAAAAGTACACACTGCACTCAAAGATTAGAAACGCCTGTTTTTCATTTTTCACATTTTACTTGAATCCAGTTTTCAACTCGCGAGTGGCAGCACTTTCGCTTCAGTGGCACCATCATTTTTTTTAATGAAACCGAAGATGACTAAGTTCAATTAATTCATACACTCTTTTCTCTCTCTATTTTTTATGTTTTCATTAAGATAGCTTTTTTCCCTATATTTTGTTATTATATGTTACTTTTTACATAATCACTACCATCAAAGTTAGATTCTCTATTAAAGTAACTTACGGAAAGCAATTGGTGGTGACTTATTGTATTCTCGATTTACACACTTATAATAAATAAACTAAAAATTAGATGCTAGCTATATTAAGAAGTTAATATTAATTTTGATATATATAAGATATTAATTGCATTTTTGGTTTGCCTGCTAACTTCTCAAATAGATGGATAAAAATAATAAGAATAACTCATTTGTCTAGTTAACTAGTATCTTAATTAAGGCATCAGTTAAAAAAATTAATAAATAAAAAATGATTAAAAATTATTTCAGAAATTAATGCATTAAAATAATGGTAAAAATAAATTAACAACACTGTGATGTCAAATAAATAGGTTGGATAAAATTAGAATTGAATCATAATAGATTAGTCAAAATAAATAATTAATCTATTATGATATGTTAAAAATGCATTAAAAATTTTAATTTATTCATAACTTATTTAACCAAAATTTATCCAATTCAATCATTAAGTAATTTTTATCAATAAATATTCAATCTATTCAGTTAAGTATATTATTTTTTAAAATATTTTTATAAAATACATTTTAATATTTATTTATATTTTAACATTCAAATACAATAGAGTTTAGGGTTCATTCCTTAAGTAATTATTCCTCACTAATAGACTCTAGATTATTTAATTTAATATATTACAAAATATGTTGAATGATTTCTCAATAATAAATAATGAGTCAATTTTACTTATCTATAATTCTTATTTTAATAATATATATATATATAGATTGGGATTTATTGACACCTTATATTTACACTAAATATTAATTGTACAAATTAATAATTTAATAATTAAAAAATTATTTATTATTTAACTAAAATAATAAAGTACAAGCGCATAAAAAAAACTGTGTTTTGAGAATGTTACCGTATAATTATTACACATTTGTCATAATTGATATACCTTTTGCAGTAAAATATTAATAACAGTTGTTAAGATTAATTTTAAGCAACTATAAAAAAATTTGTTGTTAAAAAAATTATATTTTGTAAAATAAAATTTGATTAATTTTAAATACTTAAATGAATCAGATTAATATTAATAAAAATATTTTTTATTCTACATTATTAAGGTAATCACACCCTAGACTACTCAGAAAGTGAGATTCTTTAGGTTTACCTACGAAAAGTCTTGGAAAGCACTGAGTGGTGACTTATAGAGTTATTGTCTTTTCAATCGAGCAGAAAGACTAGTCAGCTTCTATGGCACTAATAATTCAAAGCAAACTCCATCAATCCTTATAGGTCTTATTCAAGGAGGGTAGAGACCTCTTAGAGTTACCCAGATATGCTATCCTCATTACCAAAATGTTTCAGTTTTTACATTAAGCCAAAATTAAAGTTCTGCTTTCAACTCATTAAATATAAGATAAATAAATAATAATAATGATATAACATTTAAGATAATTTAAGAATAAATAAATACAGCCAACAAGCGATGAACACGGTAAAGAAAAGGAAAATTTTATGAAAACTAATTAACAAAATAAATTAGATAGAAACTAGCATTCAATTTCATAATTACATGCATAAGTATTTCGCTGGTGGCAAAAAGAAGAAAAAGCTATTCGCCTATTGCTATATGAAGAATCCAAAAGTAACGTTTCAAGCATATATATATCTCAGAAGTCATTAAACTTTTAATAAAAAAATTAAACAGTGTCTTATTTTCAGCACTTAATAATTTAGGGTCAGATTAAATCGTGCAATTTGTTTTGTTTTGATTCAATTATTCAAAATGCAACACTCGTATCACTTTTCTAACTGGAGGTCACCTCTCATACACAATTATTGTCATTTTTCCTTTGAAATTAAATAGCTATTCTATTATTATACCAACCCACTACTCACTGTTTTCTAGTTTTGTTCTTCCGATAACATAATTACTAGCAAGAGGAAAAACTCTTTTTCCTTTTCTTTTCTGAAAGTGGAAAATCATACTAACAAGATTGGGGAGAGTTGAACTTTGGGTTAGTAATTAGTTTGGGAAATTAATTCTCTTGTGTAAACCATTGTATATGAATACGTTTCTCAAATCATTCAGAGAGTATTTTAGGTTGGAAATGTATAAAAACTGAATAAAAATACTTTTAATTCCTATTTATAACACAATAATATCAGTTAACTAATCTGCTTAGGGCTTGTTTAATTAGTAGCTGTTTCTTTTGTTTTTATTTTTAAGCATACAGTAAGAACTTTTAAATATGCTTTTTTTTTTAATATTTGAAAGGACTGAATTGACAACGTTATAAACGAAACTTAAAGATACGCATTATCTTCAAAATGTTTATTAGTGCGAGGATTGATTTTAAAAAATATTAAAAGATGAAACTAAAATGTAAGTGAATATAAATGATCGAGACTAAAATTTTAATTTAATCAAAATAATTGTACTGTAGAAAAGAATTGAAAAAAAAGTTTAAAAGCATGTACGTGTGTTTGATTATATATATATATATATATATATATATATACCATAGTGATTTCGTATGTGTTTGAATTAACTGAAAAATATATTAATTTATTATTTGATATTTTTAATTAACTAATTTGATAATTATTTATGTCAAATAAGTTATATATTTTTATATCTTAAGCAAGGAATAATTTTAAAATAATATTTTATGCTTGAATAGTATAAAAGGATATTTTTAGGATACAATTACAAAATGACATAAATTTATGTGTAATTATTAATTTTGTATTAAGATAATTAATTGTTAAAAATAAAATAACTAACAATAAAATAAGTTGTAACTTATAATCAATAATATGTTCAACATCAACTTATAAAAAAATTATTTAATATGGAAATATTCAAGACTTTGATTTTCTTTAATACAACAAATCCTAAACATGAATAAACAATATTCTTAATTTTTTTCAGCAAAAATCATTTTTAATCCAAAAAAAATGGCACCCAAACAGACATTTAACTTTTGGCGCGCACTCTATGGGTGGTAGAAAAAGATTATTTGTTTTATGAGTGCTATTTTAGTTGTCTTCGTTCCACGAATATAGACATATATCTGCGAAAGTTAGAAATGATATCATCAATGACACAAACCATTTTGAACATTTTTTAATAGATAGATAAGTCATATATAAGAGCATCACATTTTATATTAATTCGAACTTTGTACGTTTCATATACTACATTAATAAATTATCAACAAAAAAATATATTGATAAGATGTCGAAGCTTTAAAAATGTCACCTAATCATACACATACAAAATAACTCCTTTATTTTTTTTATAATTAACAATTATTAAGTAAAGTTCTGTAATGAAGTGAAGCTGCCTTTAAATGGGTTGAAACAAAATAAAAAAAAAATTCAATATTTACATTTTTGTAATGTATGCCTTGAAAGCAACAAGACATAGATTGATTAAGCTGAGGTTACATATACGCTGGAAGATTAAGATATTAGAGTTGAAGATCATTTTTTGAAGTTGTCAAAGTTAATTAACTATACTTCATTATTGCTCTTCTGGTTGTTCATCTTTTGAATATGTTAACATATAAAATACAGGAATACGAGTATTCTTTGTGATAGTTTTTTATTTGTTTACTTTGTACATTGCAGAAGCAAAGACAAAATCATGATCTCATAGACAATACAAGCTTCTCTGCCAATGAACCGAAGCACAAACTCAAAATGATGACACATTGTTTTTGTGAGAAGTATTACTAATACATCCTTCAATAAACCTTGTTTAATATACTTTTATTGTAAATCAAATTTATTAAAAACTACAAAATTATAATGTCGATCCTCAAGGATAGTACAATAATTCTTTGTTTGGATGGTGGAGATGTAAGAAAAAGGAAAAGGATGTTTACGTGAATTTTATTTGTTTCAAATTTCATAAAATAAAGCAAATATGTTATTGAATATGTATAGTGTCATAATCATAATAATTTTATTCATGTTCTTTATTATTTTATTTAAATATTTTATATATTTTTATTAATTTATATAATTAATAATATGTTATACTCTTATTATATTTTTATTAGTTATTAAATAAAGTTTGAACGTGAGAAAAGTTAATTTAAATAACTAAAAAAATTAAAATAAATAAATATGAACAATTAAAATTAAAAAACCATAACAAGTTATATGCTAACTAAAATAACTAATTAAATATACTCCCAAGTCATAATAAATTCAACTCTTTATTAGAGTTTGATAATCTCTTTAGACATATACATGCTTTTCTTCTGACATGACCACATATTTTTCTTATTTTGTACATCTCTTTTGAGTATCTCTATCAAATTAAATCAATATTTTTCTTTTTGGCCATTAATTCAATCAAAGGATACCTATTCATTCTTTCAATGTCTTTAATTAATAAACAACTTCTTCAACTAAAATTAACTATAATGAGATATTTAAAATATTTTTTTTTATCAATTAAACTAATTTTTGAGATTTTTGTTCCAACATTTGTATATTCAATTTTTTATTACTGATAAAATAAACTTTCACCTGTATTAATTTACAAATACTCATGTGCTTTAATCTATAAAATAATTAGTAGTAAAATATTAAATTCACAATATAGATTGTGTGTGTGTATATAATGTTCTTAAATTATAATTTAGGGAGGATTAATATCCTATTCCTTTCTCTCTCGTTGTCTTTTGTTTATTTATATTCAGTTCTGATTTATGCTACCTCTTGTCTTGTTCTGGTGCTACCTTGATACGGTTAGTTAGGTAATCGAAATGATATAAGAAAACTCTCACTTTTTTTTTTTACTTTTGCCTCGACTATATTTATTTTTTATTGATTTTTTAAATCAAATAAAATTTTTATTGGCAATAAAACTCTCTCTTTAAATATTTAACACCTGTATTTCTGCAACTTTATTTTGCACTTTCAATTCCCAAATTATTTTACCTAAATGAAAATAATAAATAACATGCATGAAATGTAATAAAATGATTTTTTTATTTAATTATTTTGTACACTTTTTCTTTGTAAATCTATACAAATAAATGATATATCACGTTTTATTATATTTTTATTAATTATTAGATAAAATTTTAAAAATAAAAACTTAATTTGATTAATTAAAATACTATGAGAATCAAATATAAAATATTAAAATCAGGAGATAAAATAGCGCATAAATTAAAGTATGAATACTTAAAATGCAATTTATTTTTTTCTTAAATGAAACCATGAAAACGAGTATTACTCGGCTCAAACTTAAGAGGTGTCATCCTTGTTATAGTCAAATTACAAGAATAACACAAATTAGAAAAATAAAGACATAAAAATTTTAAAGAATAATTTAAATTTATTGAAATGTTATATTTTGTAATAAAAAAGGAAAAAAAATAAAAAGAAAACATCTAATTATTTCAGTAAATATTTTTAAGATAATCAAAAAATTGTTTGAAAAAAAATTGGATTTATCTTAATTATCTTTGAGAAACTCGAGAGACTCAGATTGAAGGACCACCTAACATAACCGATATCCAAAAAAAAAAAGGTAAAATAAGATATTAAGATTGGAATATATGGACATCTAAAAAATGTGATAAAATTGTATATATTAAAATAATATTATTCGACAGTAAAAGATGACAAAATGAATAACTGTGTGACACAACCCAATAGAATCAGCTTTCCACAATTAACAGTCTCAATGGCCATAGGGACAACGCTAGTGGTGGGGCAACGTTATTCCAAAGTCCACTCACAAAAAGTCAACCTTGTCACCCCCAAATTTGGAATTTTCTTACCCTCGATCAAATTTTTACATGTTATTATCAATACATTTTTTAATATTTTTTTACTCATCTTTTTCTACTTATATTATAATTCAATTGCTTCTTAGATATATAAAATGCAATAGATATTCCCCAACTTTAGAACTTAAGCAGTAGAAATGCATATTTATTTTAACTTATTTTAGATAATGATTAATTTTTTTATCAATTCTTAAAAAAATAAATTATTTTTCCTTAAAATAATCCATCTCAGACACGGTTGATATGAAGTTTCAAATCACTCATTTATTTATTGATTTTATCAAAACTTCATCTAAAATCTTCATTTTATTACCTGAACATCCAAATTTAATAATAAAAAATTCAAAACTAGTTATTGATCATACTATTTAAAAAAGTATCCCTAAAATGCTTATTTATATTAAAATGCATTAAAATGCAACATTAATATAGCATAACTTTTTAGACTAAAGAGAATAATATTTAAGCATTCATTAAAAATTAATAACATTTAACACATTTGATATGATAATTGAGTTCTTTAAACATATTAAATAAAGCTAAATACTTGCCTCTGTGGCCCTTTATATAAAAAATTATGGAAAATAATAAAAATTACTATAATAATCCTTACCTTTTAAAAAATCAATCTCTCCTTATCTACACAGGTTTAGAAGATACTTTTATGACACATAAAATAATATTCATAGAAAAAGTTTATTTTACTTTTAACATTAAAATATGACTAAAATCAAAATAAGACAATACAAATAATACAAAACCAAGATAAATTTAATGCTGATCTAGCACTTTACAATTTGTCTTTCTCCACTGATTGGGCCCACCCTCCCCTCAAGTACATGACACATCAACAACCCCTTAAACTCTGCCAAGTAAGTCACAATGGGTTCCACCACCAACCCAACCCAGATCATCCTCTGCTTTCACTCTCTTCATGTGCTTTTCCATGTATCATCATTATTCATTATAAATTCACATATCATACATACCCTGAAAAAACTACTCCAATTCCTCACCACTTCAACTTCATTTCTTCTTCTTCTTCCAAATTTGAGCTTCAGCTTCTGTGTTCTGTTCTTTCCTTTCACTCTGAGTTTGCACGTTTTTTGGCTACCCACCAATGATTACAACAAAGCGGGTCCACAGATTCTTCAAGTTCCGTGCTTTAGTGAATTCCCTTATCATATCTATACCAACCATTCTTCGTGCTTTGTGAATGCCCAAAACTAACCCTCTCTTCAACCCTTACCTGCCATATATCATATCCCCTGCATCTGAAAGGGGTATTTTGACACAAACCTGTCACTTTCCAAGTTAAATAGTATCTTCTTATTCTCCCATCCAATCAAAACTTGCACCACTTTCTTTCTCCTTTCAACTTTCGTTTTCAAATAGAACAAGAAAATAGAAAATTCAAAACCAAATGGTTGCTAAGGACTATAATCACTTAACATGTACGGTTCTCAACATGGGTAAAATAATGCTAACTCTTCACTATTCCAGACTTTTCTGGCTCTTCTTTGGCATATTCTCTTACGTAAACCATGAAGGCAAGCCTCGGATTTAGGATAATTCCATAAAATAATTAAAATTATTTTAAATTAAATTTTTCTGCTTTTATTTTCCTTTTCTTCCTGCTCTGTGCTTTCTGCACAACTAAGTTGCTAGTATTTCGACAAGTTTAGCTCAGCATCAGACATGTTTTGTAAGAGAGAAAACAAGGAAGATGGCATGGCAGAACATCTCTATGTGGAAACCGACCCAGCTGGTCGCTATGGTAGGGTAAGTTCTGAGTCCCCTGTTTCTCTCTGTTTTCACTCCATTTCTTGGACCATTTGTTCTGCCATTTGAATTCATATTATTATAAATGTTATGGGTCTGTATTTGTTGATTTAGATGAGATATACTTTTTTCCATTTGTGTGCACGTAATTAGTGTTGTTAGCAAGTTTAAGCCATGTGCTATATTTTGTTATTAGACTTGCAGGGCAATTGAAAGAGTATACAAAGAGCATATGAAAATAGTTTCTAACTCTCATAAGTTATTTTCAGTTTATTTCAGTAAGTCTTTCAGTATAGTTATCAGAATAAACTCTTTTCAATATTTATGAACTTTTATGATTAAATTTATTATGGCATACTTTCGTTAAAATATTTATTGAATAAGCACTTATTAAGCTATATTTTCAAATGCACCTTTAGTAAGATAAGTGCTTATTTCTTAAAATTCTGAATATTTGAGGGAAAAATAGATTTTAGAAAACTGTATGTGTTACCAAGTGCAAACGATTGAGAGATATTGTGTCTTACAATTAACTTAATGTGAGTGATGTTGAAGCTCGTTGTGATTGATTAGTTTGGAGAAGTTCTTGGAAAAGGGGCAATGAAGACAGTGTACAAAGCAATTGATGAAGCTCTTGGAATAGAGGTAGCATGGAACCAGGTTAGACTCAATGAGGCACTTCGCACCCCGGACGATTTGCAGCGGCTTTACTCAGAGGTTCATCTTCTCAGTACCCTCAAACACCAATCCATCATACGATTCTACACTTCTTGGATTGATGTTGAGAACAGGGCCTTCAACTTTGTTACAGAAATGTTTACATCAGGGTCACTGAGAGAGTAACTTCCTTTCCTGCTATAAATTAGGCAATTACTTAGTCCCATTATGTAGCTCCTTAGGAAAATGAGCATGCAACATGTTAATGTATGTGTACAAGTTAAACTCTCTATGATAGGAATAAGGAATTATCTAGTAATTGGTGACCATTATCTAGTAGTTTACATATCCAGAATATTCCAACTCAATTTAGGACTAACAGTCATCACATGGATTTTTTTGTTTGATCTCTATTGGAAATTTTAACTCTTATTAAGTATCAGAAAGAAATAGGAATATGATCACGAACATGAAATGTATATTGCAATTTTCTGCTAGTATATGCTTAATGAAATAATGGATAATTCTGGCATGTGCAGATATAGAAAGAAATATAAGCGTGTCAGCATACAAGCAATAAAGAGTTGGGCACGCCAAATCTTACAAGGTCTTGTTTATCTACATGGCCATGATCCACCTGTGATCCATAGAGATCTCAAATGTGATAACATATTTGTCAATGGCCATCTTGGACAAGTGAAAATTGGTGACTTGGGACTGGCTGCAATTCTTCGCGGTTCCCAGCCAGCTCACAGTGTTATTGGTACTTATTTTGATGCCAATGAGTGTTGCAATTTGAAGGTTCTTAGAAACTGTTGTTATTTATTTTCAAACCAAAATTTCTCCTTTTGTGTTAGGCACCCCTGAGTTCATGGCACCAGAATTGTATGAGGAAGAATACAATGAGCTTGCTGACGTGTACTCATTTGGAATGTGTGTATTGGAAATGCTTACATCTGAATATCCATATAGTGAATGTTCTAATCCAGCACAGATTTATAAGAAAGTGACATCGGTAAATTCTGGTTCTGGTGTAAGTTTCAGGATAATACTAAAGCTAGGTGTTTTATTTAAAAGCAACATTTTATATTTTAGGGGAAACTACCATTGGCATTTTTTCGGATTGAAGACTTGGAAGCACAAAGGTTTATTGGAAAATGCTTATTACCTGCAGCAAAGAGACCGTCAGCAAAAGATTTATTGCTTGACCCTTTTCTTGTGTCAAATGAGTCATCATCGACAATTAAGTTTGGGATTCAGAAGCCATTTTTGAATGACAGTGAGATGGAAAAACTGCAATTGAGCGATGATCGTCCTAGGACAGGAATGAAAGTAATAGGGAAACTGAATCCTGAAGATGATACCATCTTTCTCAAAGTGCAAATTTCTGATAATGATGGTTAGTGATCTTTTCTTAATGCTCATATCTAGTTGTTCGTTTTAAGGAAAATGTCCCCTTAAAGTTGTTTAAGATTAAGCACACGTTTCTCGCAATTAGACCAAAATACTTTCACTTATGTTTTGTTAATGACTTAACGAACATTGGTCATTTATTGGCTTAACTTTCATAGCCATGCAGTAAACTTCAGCCTGGTGACACACTCATAGTTGAAGTCAGGCCCACATATTGGAGTAACAATACTTTTTTCTGCTTCGTATTTCTGCAGGTTCTGTTAGAAATGTATTTTTTCCCTTTGACATTTTGACTGACACTCCCATTGACGTTGCAACTGAGATGGTGAAAGAATTGGAGATTTCTGATTGGGAGCCTTTTGAGATTGCAAATATGATTGACAGAGAAATATCTGCTCTGATACCACACAGGAGGCAAAGTAACTGTCCAGATGCTTTCCACACATTCAGTTATCATGATTATGATGATGATGATGATGGACCTCATCATCATTTCCACTCGCTCTCTTCTTGTTCATCATTCCAAGAATCAGTATCAGATTTAGTTAGTAAAGCTGAGCAAATATCAAGTGGATATTATTGGTTCAATGGTACGTCTTCGTGGTCCATTTCCCCACCATTGCAGCTGATAATGTGGATGTCCTATTTATTTTGTGTTTGAAACACACTAAAATGGGGTTAAACCTTTATTTAATTTGAAAGATATAACTTGCAGCGTTAAAATTGATTCGCATTTGAAATAGATTTGACAACAATCCAAATACACCATTAGTAGCTCCACAAATTGAACTGCACAAATATAACTAGTTAATTACTACATGTTAGTTTAATTTTCTTTTGGAAGTCTAAAGCTCAAGACTGGGAACCTAGTGTTATTAAATCCTTCACATGAGATTGGAGAAAGGGGATAGAACCTGTTGTAGTATGTTTTTCCAACCACTCCATTTCAGTTTAATGTTTTTGATGAATTTGTAAGGAAGTTCTGATGAAAATATAATACACTTTACTATAGTCATCTAGTAGGAGAGGGACGTGTGGGTTTAACTATTTTTAAGTCTCTATAGTAACATGACAAACTATTGTTGCAGATGATTTGCATGATGATACCAGCTCGCGATGCTCGTCACAAGGGACATATTCCAACTTGAATTACTATTCTATGGATGATCAAGAGTACAATGTGTCTTCTATGAGAAAAGATAAACTTCCCATCATGAAGAGTCACAAGGGTACAAGGTTTTCCCCCGGTGAAGACTTAAGCAATTTCAACCAGGGCAAAGTCTTAGTAGGATCACAAACTCCTCCTACTAGTAAAAGTAAAATATTGATGAACAATCGTAGATTAACAAGAAACAGGTCATTAATTGATATTCGGAGCCAACTATTACACCGATCTTTGGTGGAAGAGGTAAGCAAGAGACGGTTATTCAAGACAGTTGGTGCTGTGGAAAATATTGGATTTCAGGCACCTTGTGATGTTTCCACAAAAAAGTCACAGCCTGTATGTGTTCCTTCAAGGAGTGGCAAGGGAGAAAAACTTAAGAGATAAAAACATTTACAAACAAATGTCTCCTGAGCATTGAAAAATAAATAGATGAAATGCATAACATTGTGTTATGTGCTTGTGAAAATATTTGGTTGATTAAATATGCTTTAATCATATTTCCAAAAATTGATTTGAAGGAAATGTTAATCTTAAAGTTGGCACTGTTAAGGTCTTAGGCTCAAATAAATGTGTGATTATGTGTGAACAAAAATAAATGACTTTTCAAGTCTTCTCAAAGGTGCTGGACCAACATGCTATACTATTTTCGAAACATACACCAATTTCATGCTATTAAATATGATTGTATGCTAGCTCTTTATTGTCAGTTATAAAGATTTAAAGAGCCATGTGGCTAAACTTTTTTAAGTTAACACAGGTCATGTGTAGTTCCTTTGTGTGGCATTGTTAAGGTGACATGAAGTTTCTCCATAGTAATCAATTATTGATGTGTTGGATGTGATAGTTGCAAACTTCATCCAAACAGCAACTTGGAGTGTACATGTGATGTGCCTAGTTTCCCGAGTAGAGTTGCTAGAACTTCGAGTTGCACTATTTCACACTAGACGTTATAGCACCTTGATGAAAAGCGAAAAATCATCACATCTTTAATATTTAATCCGAAAGTGGCATCCTTTATTTGACCCATTTTGATCTATCCTAAGAATTTACTTATGGTAAAATGAGATTTATATGTACCCAAAAAAAAAAAAAAAAACGATTTATAATGATGGAGCCCATTTTTGACTGATGAATCCTATGAAAGCTGTGGAGCGGTATCTCCAGCATGTGTCTCATTTGTTAGATGCAGCATGGCGTTAATTTCTAGGCAATAATTGTAGATATGTAGATTTGAACAAAATTATAGTGCTTATATCCCTTGATCGTGAAGCTTAATAATATTGGATCTCAGTAGAATAATAATTATGTTTTAGAGTCTATTCATACAAGTGGGAGTAAACTTTATTATAAGCTCGTTTTATAGTGGAAAGCTTGAGGTCACAAAAACTTCTATGCTGCTTGAATTATGAAATACAAAATTATATACTTTAGTTACATGAAACTACAAACTGAGGTCGATTGGAGCTATCCAGAATCTTTACCGTCTCTAGTAAACAACGTAGTCCTTCAAAAATACTAATTATTATTAATTAAATTTTATTACAAATTATGGCCATTTCATTTTTAATTTAAACTATCTTACTAATAATTTTGTAATTTATAATAAATTTTAATCAATAATTAAGATTATGATCGGATAGAAGAAATTAAAATTACTACATAACATATATTTGGATAGTAAAAAAAATATTTTTAAAATATTATAAAAAATTAATTAAATAATTTTTATATCAAATAGAAATAATTTTAAATAACTTGACTTTAAAAATGATTTTTAAAAGGAAAATTATTATGTTTAATTTCTTACATTTATTATTCATAATTCCTTGACTTTCATTTTATGCAATTTTTTTATTAATTTATATTTTATAAAATTTTAATTTTTTTTATCTAAACACAGCCCAAAAGTGTATAACAGTATAAGAGACGGGGTATTTCTAACCCTCTTTAAAAAAACGTTGAATATTTCTTATTGGAAAGAGATTGATCATGTGGTTGTAGCTGCCATGTAAGCTAGAAACTTCAAAGCAATGCAACTCTTCTAATTCTCCCAATCAAGTTTTCAAATTTTCTTACCTTTAGCCGGGTCCTCAAAATCCAAACAGCAATATCCTAAAAAATTAACCTTTATCTGTAAATATATCATTAGATTTTAAGCATGAAGTTATAATGGTACCATTTTTTTTTTCTGATCTGTAAACGACTCCAATTAATCTCTTGTACTATGACGAGTATTTCTCCACCTTTTCATGATGGTACGGTAGATGATTATCCATCACCATCAATTTGTGATGAATGAATTACATGTTCATATAAATGCATATATTGCACATTCATTCTCATCCTTCTGATTGTTCCAAACTCAACTGCTACAATCAACATTTTAACTTATGTCCCACGTATTTTTCGTACCATTGCAGCCAATACATTTAACTCTGGTACTCAAACCAAGAAAAAGGAGACAAGAAAAAGCGAGAGAATAATTCTTTTTTAAACATCTTTGTGTTAATCCTCTTAATTACTGAATAAAAAAGTATTCAATTTTTTTTAATTTTTAAATATTAAATAAATTTTCCTTTTCATGTAATGTTTCCTTTATAAAGTATTAGGAATGTATTCGGTAAGTGTTTATGTGAAATAAGTGAAAAAACAATTTATGAGAATAAAAAATAATATTACCTTAAAAAATAAGTGTATCTAATATTTTAAAATTATAGCATTATTCGGGGCAAAGAATACAAGAATATGCTACTCGTATTGGAGCTACCTAGCTTTCCAATATTCATGGAATATTCTTGTATTGAGGGAAGTATCTTTACTAAAACGTTGACTAAGAAACATTTATGGCCACTACCGATCTCAATAATTGTCCTAGATTTTGGCAAAGGCCTACAATATTTTATGTCATTAAGGGTTATTAATAGGTAAGTAGCAAGAAAAGAGAGCTATGTTATGAGGACCTTTCATATCATTCAATATGCTTTCATGTGACTTGAAATGCAGAATTGCTAACATCATTGCAATTGATTCCAGAGCGTTTGATGTATCCAACATTCTGATTGACAATGTGGTTGACATTCTTTTTTACTAGGACAAATGCCTAATTGCCTATGGAATTCATGACTATCAGCAACCATAACTGTATGATCACTTGCTTCTTTGATTGCTGTTGACACAACTTCCAAGTTCCAACATTATTGCAAAAGAAATAACAACCTGCTTCAAGGCTTCAATTCCCAAACCCTGAAACATTATTGCTCACAGATTTCCTATGTAAAGAGAGACTCTTCTAGAAAGAATTTGGAAATAATAGTAATTAGACTACCTATTTCTTTGAGGTTTATGGATATCATATTTTTATCTAAAGGAACACCTGGTCACTTTACCTTTTCCTGAGTAACTTCTTTATACTACAGAAGCAGAACTAACCTTGCCACAATTGAACTAACTTTTCAGAACTAACGATACATAGGACTGTTTTCTCTGTTTTTCCTTTTTGTGGAGTCTGCTAGGCCAAGTTGCAACAAAGAATTTTGAAAACTTGACATTTAGCTCTGGATTGTACCAGCTGTTTTTGCATGTCAGTTTTTCTACTAATCAATCAAGATATAGTTAAAAACTTAATTCTTCAAACAAAAACATTTAATTGACATTTGACACTATAGAAGAACATAAACAACTCAAATAGTGGCAATCTTGATAAGGAAGTGGCAAGGGAATTCGGTGAGTGCTTTTGTCATTAGTTTGCACTCGTCAGGTAATCCAAGTAGAGATTTTGAATCACAAAGTGTAGATTGTTGTCACAGTCCATAGAAAAATTCTAAAGCAAGTGAAAAAATCAATAATGCTTAACCGCAAATTCAATGTTGCGTGCATATTTCAGGTTGTCAATACTTGAGAATATTCTTTTTATATGATGATACGAAATTTGGAATCCTGATAGTTCAGAATAAAAGTTGATGCAAAGAGTGGTGGTAGTTACAAGACTATAAACATGCATTGAATAATATCAAGAACTTTACATTCTGAGTTGAGCCATGTCATACCAAATTTGCTCAAATGCTTTAACAATGAGATCATGGTATTCACTTGAATTGAGGGAAAGATAGCAGGCAAGTAAGTCCTCCAAATCTTTTGATGCCCGGATATTGTTCTCCACAATCATCTCCACCATTGACTCCCTGAAGTCACTCTGTGGATCAAATGAGGACTTAACAACAGCAAACCCATCTGGAAAACCTGTATTTCTTGAACCTTTGCTTCCAGTGGATGACACACTTCTCCTTGCACAGGCTTGAATTTTTCTACTTGCTAGTTTTGGAGAATTGACTCTAAGCCTTATGCCTGCGGAATTAGCGAAGGGCCTTCGCCCTATAAGATTACTTCTTCTCCTCCTTTGAGTTCTACTGCATTCCTCTTTGTTAATTTCAATTGAGAAAGATTGATCATCCTGCAGCTCATCCAATTCTGTTGAACTTCTCAACTCATTAGCTTCAATGACCTTATCATCAAACTTCACTGGCTTTGTCAATATTGGAGCTAGACCAAGCTGTGAAATTGTATCAAACCCATCATGGTTTTCAGAATTCCCAATGAAGGATTCATTGTTCATGTCAATGATGATGTCATTAGTGGAAGAGCTAACTCTGCAGCTGCAATTAGAGGCTATTCCATTAAGCAAGTCAGGAACAGAAAAGCTATCACAGTCAGACTCAGAATAAACATCAGATTCAGAAGAACTTTCAATTGAAGACACATCATAGTCTGGTGACTGATTCTGATATGGCTTGGTCCAATTATTTGTGGACTCATAGCTTGAAGTGGCTATGAAAGAAGAGGATACAACTGTGGGAGAAGGCTTGTAAATGGTTTTTCTCCTAGCCCTTCTTTTGGATGACCTTCTAGGTGAATCAATGAAGGGAATTTCCAAATCTTTGGTGTGAATGGGAGTGTTGTATAGCTTACCAGTTCTGATTGGTTCAGTGGAGAAATAGTGTGAATATCTTGGAAGCGACATTTGAGATGTTGTTGGTGAAGATACTTTGCTCTTCATAACATTAGAACCATTTCTCTTCCTTGATCTACTCATATCTTTTAGCTTGTAAAACCAAGCATTTGGTATCATATCTGACAATTTGAACCTGTTGTTACCCATCAGAGATATGACTCAAAACACACACACTCTTTGCTCTCTCAGTTTCCGTGTTTCGTTATTGTGATACCTCAAAATTGTTCAAATTCATATATGCTGAAATGGAAGATGAATAAAGCCAGAAAGCTTGGTTTATAACAGGAAAAAATAAAGTTGGGTGGTCCAAAAGTCCCAGCATGAAAGCAAGGGGACCAAGTTTGTCCACCAAATTACTTTCTCTCATCATTGCTTACCAGCAAACATGCACAAAACTCTTACTGTTTATACTACTACAACATTATTAGTTTTCTATATTCACGCTCATCTAGTTATCAAATTCCACAGTGACAAGTATGATAGAGTTGTACAAAAAACATTCCGTAACACTATTCGTCATCATGAAAAAAAGAGATGCATAAACTATATTCGGAGGCTAAAAATCATAGCAAAAATTAATCACAACATGGAATGTGAAATTCAGAATCCTCAAGTATTCTAAATCAGTATATATTTATATAATATTAGCAATCCATTTCAGTTTTAGTTACTATCTTTAAGAAACATAAAAATAGGAATAATGTGATTTATATCCCTATTAACAGCATTTGATTTTTATATGGAGGTTATTATGGCTAATTTTTTGGATTGGGCTCTATGATGATTAGTACTATAAATATTTGCACTTTCATTTGTTTTAGGTCACTAAATTCATTCCTCTATCAATCTAAAATACACTATCGAGTTTTGAGTGAGTGAGAGTTTAGAAGCGAATCGATTTTACAATGGCTAAAGGCTAATACTTTAATCTGTTTTTGCTTCTCCACGTTTTAATAATTCTTTCATATACAGAAATTACAAATTACAATTTAATGCGGTATCTATGATTGCAAGTGTTACAAATAATTAATGTGACAATTTTTGGATCATTCATTGAATTTGAATTTGACAAAGAAAATATCTATTGACATTATAAAATGGCACCATAGATTTAATAGGCAGCATTGGTTGAATTGTCCCACCATAGATTTTATCATCCAAGATACACAATATGTTAGTATAATTCTGTTAAAAAGTTGCATGCTAAAGGCACGTATGGATCATAGGCATTTCATTATGGGACTAATGTTGGACTTGGGAGGTTGAAATATCTACAGTGCCTAAAAGTCATGACTATGCAATGAGATTGCTTAATTTCATTCCTTGCTTACGCATTTTTTCTTTGTTTTGTCTGGAATGCTGTGAGTACAAATAGTTTTGCTGGCAATTGAAGGATTGAAACTCATGAGTTGGTTCTCCACGCTCTGTCTAGTAGTGTGTATATTTGACCTTGAATAAGTAATCATGAATTCAGCAAATTGATGAGGCCCATATTCATTTATTCCCTAATTCTTGGCTTTAGGAATGATGGCACTTTTTGCCTTTTTATCCTCAGTTCCCCACATGAATAGTGCTGCCTTAACCATCTCTCAAAGCATTAGATTCGTTTCCTTTTCCTTTTGTGGTTTTTATAATGAAATTAGAAGCATCATGTCGTGTCCAGCTACTATTATTGGTCATGGGCATATGGTCTGACTATCCTCTTTCAGGCCTATATGTGCTACATTCCAAGCTTGAGAACCCAGCCCAATCTGTTTAGATAACAATTACTGACCCAAAAATCATTTTGACAAAAAACCCAAAAAGAAATGATAAACTTATAGTACAATTCTAGTTATTAATTAATTTCTGCTGCAAAAAAAGTACAAATAGAATCTTCGAATGGATGGAATCAATATTATACCCCTTTCATACATAAAAATCTTAAGATTGAACCACTTGTAATTTCAAAACTTAGATAAAACATTAAACTAGGTACTGAAAAAAAGATTGATTTATTTGATAGAATATTATTTCTCATTTAAAAGTAAAATTTAATTGAAATGCATTAACAATGTTAAGATATTTCTACACTATCAACCAATAATAAATTGTCGTATCAACCAAAATCATTAACTTTATAATAATTAATTTAAAAGACATATACATCGTATATTTAATTAATCAACAAGATGATGTCTCTTTAGAGTGGGGTAAATGTAAATCCTTTATAAATGTTTTTTGAGCTCAACAACTTTCTCTGCTTTAGAATGGGACATTTTCTTCTCTTAAAATTTATTAAAAACAAAATTATTTGTTTTGAAAAATATTATAATTTGGTTTAGTATGTAAGTGATCAAGCCTGTTCAAACAGATAACTTCAAGCCCAATAAGGTTGTCAATGCTTCCAATGAAGCTTCATGGTAATTATGACCGTCGATTAAAAAAATTTGTGATTATGAACAACAAAGAAAATAAACTTCATTTGTAATTTTTTAATTTACAACAGTTACATTTTTTAGCCAAATCAATCTCTCTTCTTTTTTCCATTTTATTCTTTTCCTCAATTCTGCTGAAACGTAGCCTTTGTAGTTAAATGTAATAATTTCGCTTGTCTCATATCAACTTATATTCTATTTTGTGTTCATCCGCAACATGGCAGGGACATAAAATAAGATATGAGACAACACTCAAGACAATGCCGAATTCCTTTTAGTTACCAACTCCACTAACTCTTATAATCTCTCACCTACTTCATCGACTCTTTGCTATAAAACCTAAACATATAGAAGACGAGGCTCTTTGTTTAAGCTTCTTTTTAGAAAAGTGTTTTTAATTAAACATATATTTTTTAAAGTTATTTACAATTAGATATATCTAGTTTTAAAAAGTGTGAACAATTTTTTTGAAAAAATCAGTTTCTGCAGATTTCTTCTAAAGTTAGAAAGAGAAATAAAAATAAAAACTATCATAAAAATTCGTTTTATCCAAATTCGCCCCTTGTCTAATATATAATGTATCATGTTATTGTATTTAAATCATTTAATGTTGTTAAGTAACATCGTATGGTCATATAAAGAAAAATATACATTTTTTTTATCAAACCAAGATCCATTATAATTGCTTATTAAACCCACTAATCAGTTAAATAAGAACGATTCCTTTCACTCTCATATATAACCATATCATATTACTTATCCACACAAGAATTTAACGCCCATGTTAACAAAATTTTTTGATACTTTTGTGTAAATTATCCTAAGTCATGTTGAATTCTACTATATTCATGATTGAAACTATGCATACACTCATATATGTGAGAGATAATAATAATAATAGATTTTTAAAACCAGAGGTCATAGTACAGCTAAAGACAGCCCTGCTTTTTTCTCTTGACGCGTATAGTGTATGGTAACATATTCATGCTATTGCTATGCCATTTCTATCGAATGCTACATCACACAAGACGTGAAACCCACACTCACCAACTAAGCATAACTTTTTAAAGACCTTACATCCTCTCAACACACCAATAGACTTCCCCTTTCTCTAACTAACATCACAACCTCATTCTCTCCGAGTTACTACAACAACTTTGGCTTCAACAAACATCCACCCCTCTCTCTCTCTCTCTCTAATAGTAACCATAAGCAACAAAGCCACCATCCTTCTACTATACTAAAGCACTCAACATTCTTCAACAACACTCATCTTTTCCTTATTAGAGATGAAAGTGAAAGCATTGGGTGTCTTTAAATCCAAGCTTTTCAAGCCATGCAAAAAAATAATATTTTTCTTCAGACTTAGACCCAAGAAGCCTGTGTTTATAAGAGCTCTCAAATTTCGTGCTCTCAAACCCAAGAGGCCAACAATGTCTTCTTTGTTACAATCAGTGTTTCGCTCCCCTAAGAAACCTAAACACACTGACATGTTACCAGGACTCAAGAGTCCCTCCAATGTGCATGAAACTCCACTCTTTCCATCGCCACTTACCCCGGCTTATGTAAGAACTCGTGCGGCGAAGAAGAGAGAAGAAGCTTCAAGGCAAGAGGTGGAAGATGCATGCAGGAGTTTTGAGAACTATTTGGTGGAGATGATTGTGGAAGAAGGGAAGACCAAGGATTTGATGGACGTGGAGGAACTTCTATATTGCTGGAAGAACCTGAAGTGTCCTGTTTTTGTTGATTTAGTTTGTAGATTTTATGGTGAGCTTTGTAAGGACTTGTTTTCTCCAGATAGTGAGGAAGGTGACAGTTCCAAGTAAAGGCCTAAGCAGCCAGTGAGAGAGTAAATAGATATTGATTTTTTTAATTATAATTTTCAATTTTGTATTCCAATAAATGTGAACAAGCTATCAGTGTAGTTTTTATGAAAGGATTCATCTTGAATTATTCATCCTCAGTTTTTTAAGGAAAAAACCATTGTTCTAAAGTCTTGACACTTTGGTTATAGCTATTGGCTTGTTGCCTTTTCATATTGATTATTTTGTCTTTTTGACAATAATCAAGCATTAATGAGGAAGGCTTCTAGCATGTACTTGGCAATATGAAAGCAAGTCAGCAAACAAGAAAGCAACAGCAATTTGGCATTTTTTTAAAATCTCAAATCATTCTATTCTGTTGCCCTTTAGAGTCTCAAATACGATAGCATCATAACGACAGAGACAAATCATGATCCTTCATATTTTAATAACAGCAAACCATTACATGAAGAAGCATAGTAAATATGAACGGTTCCAAAAGATTAATACATCAACAACTGTTTAATAATCAAAGATAATACAGTATGGCTAAAAGAGATAAATTAATTAGTACCTGATTTCTTTGGGGGGCAGGGGTGATTGTGTAAAAGCCAAGAGTAATATATTCCATCATTGTTAAGTGATGACCACAGAATAAATTGAAGTGCATTCATGAAAGGCAGTTTTAGTTGCACAGCTATTTACAGTTTACAAAGAAATTCGAAAGCAAAAAAGAAAATACAGGGCAATAAAGCAACCAAATACCACTGTAACAACTGGATATATCAGGTCTCTAATTAATAGCAAAGATTACAAACATAGAGCTAGTGGATTGAGGTTCTAGCATAACCTAGTAGTCATTGTTATCTTGACTACCTAAGGTACCATTAAAATAACTCTAGTACAAAAATGATGTGGTTCTGTTATATGAATTACCAGGTAAAAAGGGAGACCATTTAGCTTGAAGAATGTTTGGAGATATAAACTTTAGACTTCACCACCATCTGTCCAATTTTAAACCCAGGCATGATCATAAACTGAACTTTGTAGGTGGTTCTTTCTTCACCTGAAAGAATTGGACTCTCCTTTTCTTCATCCACAGATTCCATGTACAAGCTAGAGAATATGCTTCCTCTGCTCACAGAAAACAGGGTTGCGTCAGTATCTATTGAGACAACAGATCCTAGTAAAACCCAAACCCATTTTGCCATTTTTGCAAACAACTGATAGAACTCAGTTCTAGGGTGCTTGCCACTCATTACGAATGTTCGGTGATCCAAATTGCCAAAGAATGACTCTTCCATTTTCGGATGAACAACAAGAAGGTATTTTGCTTGACAAAATTTTGAAAAATCTGAATGTGGATTCTCCATCAGTGCATCAAATGGATCATCATACTTCATAATATCACTCACATCATAAGGGGTTAATGCAATCCCATGAAACATTCGACGCGCAATGTAGGCCTCAAAAGCATACTTTTTGTCACACCTTTTGGAATAAACAACATCACTTTCAATGGAGTTTGCAGCCCTATCAAGGTCCCAACCTGAAGCTTTCATCAAACTAATCAATGGTTTTGCAAAATCATGGATGGACTTCGAAGCAGCATTGAAAACATCCTGAAAAGTAGTAACAGTCAAAACACTTCCTTTCCTCTTATCCAAACTAATCTGCTTGATCTTCTCAGCCAGATTCTTGTTCCCCATCTGCAAATCCTGAAGCTCTTGTCTCAACCTAAGAACCTCAGAATCTTTGGCACTGTGTTGAGACTTGAGCTTCTCCAACAATACCTCTTTGGTCACAACTTCAACCTTCAAGAGATCAGAACGTGCAGCATTGAACCTTGCTTTTTTGCATTGTTTCTCCTTATATTCACGCTTGAACTTGCAGAGCTTTTCAAGCTCAGCAACAACCATGTCATCCGCAGCAACAATCTTCTGTGGATCATAAGGAATGTGAGCTTGCTGAAGCTGAAGGTATGCCAATTTCAAGGCTGAAACAGCATCAAATATCTTCTTCATGACCTCCAAACCAACACAAAAACTCTCTTTGTTTGTCACTTCAATGGGATGTGGATGCACTTTCTGGTCATAGCATTTGTTCTCTTCAGCGCTGTTTTGACTCAGAGAAGCCTCATTGCAAATGGGTCTGTGCAAGTGATGCAGGTTGGGTACTTCAGAGAACACCCCAATAGATTTCAATTTACAAACTTTGGCGAACTTGCATACCATTTCTGAGATATTTGAGTTAGGTCTCACAACAGGTTTAGTGTTTGTGCAGTCCATGGTGAAGTTCATAGTTCAAACCTTGAACTCATATAGATCGATCTAACAGTGATCCTTGAAAAAATCTTGAAAAGACATTACACCCAAAACACATTAGCCAAGCCAGAACCAAGATTCCAGACCAAAAAAACCTGATAGTGGAGGCAAGTAGCATCCCAGATGAAAAAAAAAGTTTTTTTTTTCTTTTTTTGTCAAGTAGCAAACGCAAAGACCATTTTTTCCTTTTAGGGGTCTAAGAAAAGGAAATCACTATTCACTACTACTTGGATGGGAGAACTATGTAACACATTTCAGCACTCAGAAACACACAATGTTACATTGAAACTTGGCAACAACATTAAAACACTGAAATTAAAAACACCCGAAAAAAGAAGATGGCAAAGGCATGTAGAGGAAAGCAACAAAGTAGAAGGAAAATGTAACGAAAAAGTGAAAGTGTAGTTAGAGAAGCAGTGAGGAAGAGTACGAGGAGGTTGGAAGGTGTCTTGGTTGGAGTTGAGCGCTGGTTGGCACCATTTTCTGCTCTCTGACATTTGAATTTGAGTGGAATGCGTGCGTGTTTGCATCTCAAAAACACTGTGAAACGCCACTAAATTTATTATTATTATTATTATTTTAATATTTTGGGTGTTTGGGAAAGAGTTGAACGGGGAATCTCCATTGTACTGTTTCAAAAATCTGAAAGATTTTCAGAGTTCAGAGAGAGGAGGGTACATGCAGTGCAGGATCAGACACGCGCAAAATAGTACCATAATATTTCAAATTTTGAATAAAGCAATTCAATGACAAAGAATTCCATTTTTTTAACACACCAGAAAATTTATATTCAAATTATGGGAAAATGAACTAATATTTTTATTTTTTTTATATCCTTTCACGAAAAAATGGTAAAGAAATAATATAGCACGCGAGGGAGCGAGGTTTGTTTGGGTTCTGTGAAAATCAGGGATCCCCATGCAATGCGAGTGATTCCATCCGTGTCTCGAATCGAAACTCACTGCACGACATCACAGCCGTTCAATTATTTCCTAACAACAACACCACGACCCCGTTTCCCTTGGATCCAACTCCTTCCTCTCGTTCACGTTCGCGCGCAATTTCTGTGTATTTACTAAACAACATTTTTATATAAGCTTAAATAAAACTTTTTATTCATAGAATTAAATTTCAAAAAATATTTTATTAAGATTTAATAATAAAAAAATTATTATTTATTTTTATATATTGATTTTGAGCTGATCAACAAATTTTTATTCAACATTGAATTAGTTAATAAACTTCTAATTCAATGATGTCGTGTATCATAAATGTAACAGACATTTATCTTAAATAATGTATAATGATTAAAAATATTTTAAAATGAATCTTTATTTATTTTTCTATAAAAATTATTATATTTGAATTTAGCCTTTAAAAAATATTTTAAAAATAAACAATAAAGTTTTCTTAGAATTTAGTCAATGAAAAATTAAATAAATAAAAAATATGTTTTTATTTTTAAAAAGTCAATAAAAATAAATATGAGACATATTTAAAATATATATATATATATATATATATGATTATGTGTTAATTTAGATAAATATATATAAAAACTTAGCATGTGATAGGGTTGAATTAAAATTATGTTAGCTAATTCAATACTTAACAAATAAATATAAATTAACTAATGACTTGTGCTTGATTCACTTCATTTTTATAACGTCTAAACCATAACAAATTTTTAAAACCATTAATTTTAAGCATAATAACTTTTATAAGAACCAATTTTTTATTCAACATTTACTTTTAAATATATTTATATAATCCTTAGCATGAAGCAAATTAGGTATAAAATCTATTAGCTATCTTAGGACTTAACATGCATAAATTAATAATATAAACTCATTTTTTGTTCATTTAACTTATGAGAAAATAAATTTTAACCAAAATATTTTAAAAAATAAATCAAAATACTATAACTTATAAAGAAACAAAAATTTATATAAGCCTTATATATATATCATTATCAATACATAAATATTAATATATATTGATATAAATTTCAAAACTTTTTATTAATAATTTTTATTAAAGAAAAATTGCAATAATAAAAAATATCTTAATATTTAATTTTTTATTCCTTAATAAACAATAAACTTTTAGCAAAATTTAAATACTTTTAAAATATTGTCTTTATAAATTATTAATATATAATTTCTATATTATAAAATAGTACACTTTTATCGATGTTATAAATAATTAAATGAGACAGATAGAAGCATCACGAAGTATTAAAAGGATCTGATACATGTTATCTCAAGTGTCAAGGATTCGACTGTGAATGAAAATATCATTTTATTACTTGAATTATTAAAAATTAGACTTGTATTTTTTTTAAGTCTTCCTTTTGTGTAGTTTGGTTTCTAATATTGTATTTAATATATTTATAACTTTTTGTTTTTAATTAAAATACATTTTAAGATATGTCTCCCAAAAAATGAAAAAATCATTTTTCTTGTTACTAGTTGCTACTCGGGAGCGTTGTTTCTCGAGGTCGTTTCTTTCTTTCTTTCTTTTTTCAACAGGTCGCATTTTCCTTTTGTATAACAAATATATATATATATAAAGCTACAAATAATAATAGATTAATGTACACTTGGAAATTTTATGGGGATTTTTATTTTACATCCTTAATATACTTATGATAAAGTGAAGTGTTTTCCTCTTTAGTTTAAGCTTGCTAAGAAGTTAAGTTGGTCAATATAAATAAACATTCTAATATTATATGAAAATTTGATCTCTTTACTTGTTAACGCAGTGTATCTGGTTTCAAAATTTTGGTTCTTAGTTCTACACCCTTTTTAACTAATAAAAAAAGAAACTGAAACGTGACTATGATATGTTCATATTTATCTCCACTCTTTGAATATTAAACCTATGTATGTTCCCCAACTTGTCAGACTTTATCAATGCAGTAAATATAAAGAAACATGTAAAACTGGTTTGCACGAGGAAGACCTCAATATTCTATATCATGTTGACTAGTGTTATACTATTTCAGTTCATATATAGACAAAATAATATGTATTTAATTTTGATATACTATTATGTTAAAAAAAAGTACACTTACAACTAATGATGCCTTGTTATGTTATTTTAATGAATTTGACATCATATAATTATTGATATAGTCCAAAATTAAAAATTAAAATAAGACAACAATGTATAAAAATACATTAGTGAACTAAAAATAAAATAATACTTCCTCAATTTTTTACCTGTCATATTTGTAGAACTTTTTTTTATTATTTTTCAGTTAATCTTAAAAGTTTAAATTAATATTTTCTTCAGTTATACCCTTAAAAGGTATTTGTATGAAAAAAATAGTTCTTGAAAATAATATTTTGTAAGAATTATGTTTTCCAATAATATGAAAATTTAGTTGGTGTGTCGAAAACATTCTTAAAAATGTTACACTTTTTTCATTTTGTGCTTAATTTTAAATAATATCTCTTAAAAATATTAATATTTTTCTAAAAATATCTTTCTTTTTCTTAAACACCTTACTTTATGTGATAATAAATTTTGTTATGCTACTAATTCAATTTATGCTTCTTTAAAAAATAAAATAATATAATAATATTTAATACAAGAAATGTGTGTATGAATATATATATATATATATATATATATATATAATATCCAACATCATGAGTTATATATATAAAAAAGTTGAAAAAAAAATAATGAAACTATGTGACATTGCCGTTTTAGTTGACTCGTCTAATTCACGAGGATTATGAAATATTAATTATATTGGCAGATAATATAAGTTAGGTTTAAAAGTTCAAGAATATTAAGAGATAATATAAATTAAGTCTGAGTTTAGATTCTCATCTTCCTCTAAAGGGAATGTTTTGTTAAAAAAATATATCTTTAAAAATGTTAGTTTCATTATTAAAAACGTATTCATAAAAATAAATTTTAAAATACTTCTTTTAAATATGTAATATTGCATATAATAAAAAGTTATATATAAATTTTTTTAATAAAAATTACAAAATTTAATATAATTAATACATTGATACTACTAAATGTTATAACTTTCAATAAAAAAAATTACTATATATTTTCTTATATTGTGCAATGTTGTATAAATTAAAAATGATTTTTAAAAGTATTTTTAAAAAAATACTCATACTAAATATAACTTAAATTTTTAAAAAAACTTAAAAGAATTTCACTATCAAATGTCTTCTTAACTTAAAATAAAATAATAATTAGTTGATAAAAGAGAGAAAAACATATAACAAGAAATTATATAATATATTAAATTTGTTTCTTAAGTTTTATTTAAAGTATTAGAGTGATAAGTAGAAAAATGAAGAGAGTAATGAGTTACGATGAAATATTAATGATTCTACTTCCACTCAACCATTGCATAGCAATATTCTTTTCAATTCATAATGAATAATAATTGTCGAGAGAGGCAAGGTCCATTTTTGTCAGACCTGCTTCGCCCTCTGGTTATTAGTTACTTCTGACCATTTAATTAGTGAGTCTCATCTTTGGTAATTGGCGGTGAGAGTAAGAACTTATCTTAACTTTTTTATGAAAATTCATTAACATGGAAAGATCTAGATCCACCAAATTTCTTTTTTATGCTTGACGTTTTCCATGGTTTCAATTGAAGAATACAAAGTTATTAAAATTAAGCATTAAAATAAACTAATCCAGCATGGGTGATCTATCTACATATATCATCACTGAAATCCATACCATTAATGTTTTCCATCGAGATTCATAAGTTTACAACTTTATTTTTGTCAACTGGACAAGTAGTTAACACTATGAGACATGTTATGCCCCATGAAAAACAAAACCTAAGATGGGTGTTGGAGCTGTCTGAAGCCCAATTTTTTAAATGTGTCTCGTCATATCCAAAGCCAAACTCAAGTTGACGACGAAAAAACAAAAACTCCAAGTTGAGAAAGTTTACATGAATTGAGCAAATTTCT